TGATTTTCTGAGTACAGTATTTCGTGGCCAATATCTACACAGCCAATCCTAAATAATTTTCCTCAAGTGAGACCTATTAAACTAATGCTTCGGGTAACTCATCTGTTAGATGATTATCCACTTAACAAATTTTCCAAATGGAATCACATGGTCCGTTACATTTCAAACGCTCGAAAAAATAAAAATACAAAACTTGACTGTGGAACGGGTGTGGATAAGTTGAAGTATGCAAGAAATGTGTTCACTGCATTCATCCCTGAATTTGTTTAAGTTCAAATAAGTAAATTCCAACAGTCAACTTAAATTGCTTAACGCATTCTGTTGACGCATGATATTATTTTATATTATTATTTTGTATTTGTGTCGGTTTCGTTCGGTCTTGATAAAGGCGAAATGTGGCCCGATCCCGATAACATTATTATTATTATTATTATTATTATCACGGACTAAAATTATATTGTGTGACTTTGAGTCAGTCGCGTACAATCAATGTAATCGGCACCGTCTCGCCAAATTTCAATAAAGCGAGATTTTTAGTGTAAGTAAAGTGCGTTCACTACTATTATTTAATCCTAATTACTCCTATCCGAGAACCAAAAAATAAAAAAAGCGTTACAGTCCACAACACATTCATTGATGACACTAGGCTCATACGTGTTGCGGTAGATTGAATTATCTCAATGTTCCAGAGGGTAGGTGCCCAATTACACCTTCGGTCAAGGGGTAAATTCGTGAAGATTGTTTCCGAACAAATGCATTTGGACCACTTAAACACTCGGCCTCAAGAACTATTTGCCAACATGCAACTGAAATATTATCCGCTCGGTGAACGCTCTGTCTCGTACAAATGTACAACTTCATATCATCAATGCATCACTTGTTTCTGCGTTAAACCAAGTATGATACATCCACAAATAACACAAAGCAGAATATCTATCCAAAGATCTTTATTTCATACGGGTGTTTATTTCTGCGGATCCATTAAGACAAAAAATGGAATAATACGGTTCAAGACTATCTAAAGTTATATTTCAGTAGTACTCGTACTTATATATTCACAATACTTTTCAGCAGGAAGATTTAAACAGCTAAATGAGAAATATCCTACTCAAGTTCATTTTTTCCTTTAGAATATGAAAAATAGTGATTTTTTTAACTAAATACCTTTTTTACGATACTCAACTAGTTTTTTTTAACTCAAAAAAATATCGTTAGCATAATATACATATTAGTCACACTGTAAATTTAAATTCTAAGTTAAAAATTGTTCATTTAATCCAGTTAAATAATTTAATTAGCCATCATTCGATCAAGTTCTATAATTATTTTTTCAAGTTCTTTAATGCTAACAAATTTTAATTCACCTAATTTTTATAAAAAATGAATTTTCAAAATTTTAGTAATAATTTTTGATCATTAGTTTCTTTATACATCCCGTATATCCAAAATATACAATATTTTCATCAAAATTGAAAACATATAATTTATTCCCGTAAACTATAACTCAAAATAAATACTCATTAATTAAAAGTGGTTTTATATATTAAGGAAAATAAGATATTGTTGAATGTTTTATGCCGTGGAATTATCTTACATAATTAGGAAAAAGATAGCTCATGGATAAATTAAACACTCAAAATGGAATCCGAAATGTACCTACTCGTATATACGTATTATTATCAAAAAAAAATTAGTTTGTTGAAAATGTCGTAAATTAATACGGTAATATTAACGATATTTATCAAAGTAATTGTGAATGTAGACCAAATGATACTATAGGCCAGTGGTCGGCAATAGGCGGCCCGCGAAGGAAAAATAATTGGACCACAAAAAATATATTTTTTAATAATGCTGGTTTTTCACACATAATATATATTTATCTATTTTATGATGTATTTAGAGATTACGATGGTGTTTATCATTTATTGCTATTTACAATAATAGTTGCGATAACACAACAATTATTAATTAATATCTGAGTTTTTAGTTTTTACTGGCCCTCGAAATTTTTTTTTTTTTATTTTCTGGATAGAATTTAATTGCCAACCCCTGCTGTAGGTTAATATATTTTTCATATTTTTTTTTCTTAAGCTTTTTATATTATAATAAATAAATATTTTGATTTCAAGAAACAAATTAAATGTGTTAATATTTAATTTAATACGAGGTGAACATATAGTCTAGTGGGATAGTGTGTTTAGCGTTTAGCTTAAAAAAATTTGTTAAAGCTTTAAAAATTTCAGTTTCAATGATTTAAGTTAGTTGATATAATAAATTAATAACCTTTACACACTATCAGACTAGATTCTACGTTCACATTTTTTATATTTTATTTTTCCCCTCGTTAGGTTTAATATATGGTTTAGTGTATGAACATATAAAAAACTGATTGTTTAAGCTATGCTTATTGCTTTTCTAGTGATTATATTCATATTTTTTCTAAAATGCGGTTTACTATAATTTTTTTAATATTTCAGAAAATAAGTGGACGTGTTCACGTTTACAAACATTGAAAAAATGAATGACTTCATTAAATGTTTTTATTTTTTTTTTTTTTTTTATGAATCGTTTACCTTCAGTCAATATAAAAACCCATAAACATAAACGACACTACCCAAAAATAAAAACACAATTTAGACTTAAGAGCATATACATTTTGATACCTAAAGATTTTAAAATGATAAATTAAACAAATACTAGAACATTAGGCGCACAGCCAAGATTTTAATAATTTATTATAATAGAAATATATAATAATATAAAATAAAATAATCAATTTATTTTACACATATATTTAATAAATGGTAAGAAAATTGAGCGTCTTAAAAATCGTTGAAATTTATTGAAAGTATAGGTAAACGTCGTTTGCGTTCACACTCTTTGAAAAAACGAGTGACGTTCGCGTGTGAATGTGCGTTCATGAACAATGTTCTTTCCAACTAGTTTTAACTCACTTAAAAACTACTTCCCACTTGAGACCTACTTATTAAATGTAAAGTCTCACGATATTAACAATAATCGATATTTGTTTCACGAATTAGGTTCCATAGTTCTTAATCAACAGTTGTCTGTTTTAAATGATCATCCAAAACCAATGATCTGTTATTAGTATTGGAATTTTAAATTGCTCTTCTGCAATGTTATTGAAGTGATAATATTTTAATATAAACTCTTTAATGTGTTTATTATGCAAGATCTGCCGGATTACTGTCCAGTGTCCGAGTTAATAACTTAAGCCAGGCAGCAACAGTCGGATGTTGTGTGGGAGACCGCTCAGATCATTGTTTACTATTGAATATTGATAAACGAGAATTCATCAGCCTCTTAGTTTTATTATTAAGTTAATTTTTTATGTCCAAGACCATTGTTGTACGTGCACTGGTTGTTGAACCGAACCGAACCAAACCGGCTACCGAGTACCGGGTCCCCGTTTCATCACTGTTTATTCCTCAATCCACTGTAGGTACCTAATATCTATTTTCCTCGTTGCATTTTTAATTTTTGTTGTGCACGATGTACATTAAACTGTATATTTAACATCCCACACAGTAGAAAATCGTATAAACATTATGTATTCCCTAACGAAATAAATTCAGAGCATTCATTATGCATTTTTTTTTCGATTGAATATTAATCTTATGAGTTATTTTTTATAAGTATCACATAAACCAAAATAGTTTATTTTTATGATTTATAACGGACACATAGAAAAAACACTCTAGTTTTTGACATACCTAGCCATAAGTTTATTCGGTGACTATTAAATGCTTTCAATTTTCAAACAAAATTTAGGAAACGAAGCCATTTTACGCTCCAACAAATTTTGCTTTTAATTAAAATTTACCTTGCCTACCAAATAAACTATGTTATGTTACTATCCTCAATTCAAAATAAGAGAGTATCGAGCCTTGGACTAAAACTAGTCGAAACTCTCACATCTATCCTCACTACAGCTAATGCTGTCGCCAACCGTTCCAGCGAAGGCTGCTTATGTTGTTTATACAGAGCGATAGCACTGGAACCAACATTTATATGAGTTCAATATGTATCTATTATATTACTGTATAATACTCGTTAACTCAATTCCCTGTATACGACAGCGGCGACTATAATCAACGAACGGTGATCAATAGCAGAGCAATTTGACTCAGTCATGGGAGGGGGTCTGGATGTCATTTTACGATTCGTTTGGATGCGCTGAGGCGATGCGATTTTATTTGGAACGGAGTAAATATTATTGAAAATCTATGATATTCTGTTACCGGTGAGAATTCTCCAACAATCTTCATTTTCAAGCAAAAACTAGTTAATAATTTTGAAATACGATTATTCGCATAGTAGTAATAATTTTGATAACAGCAATATTGTGCTATAACTAAAAATAAAATAAATAGTCAACCGATGAATTTTAGTATAAATAATAATGTCTAATCTCTAATGTCTATTAACTTTAAGAATTGTTTATTTTTTATTATTAATTATTAATATAAAGCAAAAACACAATGTTTGTGATGAAAAAGCAAACTGCGAGTACTTCTTATCAAATAATCATGGAACGATTGATAGAAGGAGCAAGTGCCTTATAATAACAAAATAATTTTTTTTCATTAAAAAGAATATCAAAAGAAATAAATTTATCTGTATTTATATATTTTGTTATAGACGAAAAATCACCTTGAAAAATATAACAGAAAAAATAAATACATCATTAATTTCTATCATATTATCTAAAATTGTTGATTTAAAAATGTTTAAGTTGGCAAGCTGACTAAGAACCAATATGATAATAATATATTATATTATAATAAACACAAATAATATTATTATTATTGATAAATAAATGTCTGTAAAACAATGCTTAATGTTTAATATTTCAATTGTTTATTAAAAACTGTATATATTAATAAAGTAGTATATTATAGAAATTTTTTTTCAAATTATTTGTTTCAATTTGTTATTAAATTTATATTCTTCACAGTTTTGTAATAAATATTTCTATTATGAGTGAAACATTAAGAATATTAAAAAAACAATCTAAAAAAAGAAGAAAAATGATTGCAAAAATAGTAAATCTCAAGTAAATATTTAAGTTATTTGTTAATATAAAAAACTTTTTTTTTATAGCTAGGTTTCTCAGATGTACAACAGCTGAGACAAGCATTAAATCCTTATAGGAAGAAAAAAATTCAAATGCGTTCAATAAAAAAATATAATGATGGAGCAAGATATCTAGAACCAATTTTTGGAGATTCAACACCGTTTCGTAAAGGTGCCAATTCGTATTACATGCACAATGATTATTGTCAGCATTTTATTGATACTGGTCAGCGTCCGCAAAATTTTATCAGAGATGTTCACTTAAACAGCAGATTTAACGAAATTCCTAAGTTAAAGGAGTTAGTTCATCTAAAGGTATAGTTTAGATACATTTTTATAAATTATAAAATATTTAATAAAACTTAATGAACCATAAGAAATAAATAATAAGTTATTTTATTGGTGAAATAAATTATTACATTTTTTTTTTTTTTTTTTTAATTGCACATTAATTGTATTGCCATAGTAGATATCTTTTGTTATCAGTCTTATAATATCTAAACACTCGTTCTATACTATTGTAATACCATATAATCATTATAAAATACATACATTCAGAAAAAAAAACAATATTTCAAGCATAATATTGCAGTTCAATTCAACTAAGTTAAAAATAATAATTTTAATTGACTATTTACTATTTACATTCTTTACTAACATCAAGAAGTGACACAAATAACATATTGATTTAGATTATTTTTTTTAATTTAAACAATGTATGCTGATTCCTTAAAATACTTGTACTATAATTATTGAATGTTCTTATAGGATAAACTTGTATCTCAAACTGCTTTTCCGCCAATGTTTCTGAAGTGTAATCTTAGCACATTTAATTTAAAAAATTTAAATGTTGAATTTGATGTGATACTTGTTGAACCACCTTTAGAAGAATATCAACAAACATTAGGTATAACCAAAAAAGATCTGTGGAATTGGAAACAAGTGAGCTAAAGCATATATAATAATTAATAGATAATAAACGTATGCCAGATAACACAAAAAAAAAACACTAAAATTGTTGTTAATCGATAGTTAACAAATGATTCATAAAATATGATTTAGTAGCCTCTGATTAGTTTTTTGAATTTTAGTCAACTATTTTTTATGTAGCCTAGCATTAGTAAATATTGATACTTAAATAGGTAATGGATTTGAAATTGAATGAAATAGCTGCTCGCCGGAGTTTTATTTTTCTTTGGTGTGGTTCATCTGATGGTCTAGATAATGGTCGTGAATGTTTACGTCACTGGGGTTTTAGGCGTTGTGAAGATATTTGTTGGATTCAAACAAATATTAAAAAAACTAACCATTCGCAATGTTTAGAACCAAATGCTCTTTTTCAACGTACCAAGGTAATCTATCATATCATAAGTTCATTAAATTGTAATTTAGTTTAATCTTATGTTATAATTCCAGGAACATTGCTTAATGGGCATCAAAGGGACGGTTCGTCGATCTACAGACAATGACTTTATTCACTCAAACGTTGATACTGATTTAATAATTAGTGAAAAGAATGAGTTTGGTTCAACAGGAAAACCAGCAGAAATATTCAATATTATAGAACACTTTTGTCTCGGTAGAAGAAGGTATAATAATAATCTACAAGGTTGTTTTTAACAATTATAATTTTATTTTTTTGTTTTAAGACTACATTTGTTTGGTTGTGATGGAAGTGTACGTCCAGGATGGCTAACTCTGGGACAAGAATTGACTATATCTAATTTCAACATTGATTTATATAAAAGTTATTTCATGAATGGTAAACTAACAACTGGATGTACGGATCGTATTGAAGAATTAAGACCAAAATCTCCTCCTACATTTAATAAACGCTGAAATAAATGAGAGAAGTTATTACTTTTAAGTTTAGAGAATAAAGGTATTAGAATATTATAACTATTATTGATTTAATATGAATAATCTTCTCACTGATAACATGTGAATATACAAATATTTATATATAAATGTATATATATATATATAAATTGAATATTTATATTGTATCCCATCTTTTAAAAATTATTTATACATGTTGTAAGTGTATTATACTATAATACAGTCTGGAATGTTGAATTCTTTAATATTCATTGCATGCTCTTAATTTTTTAATTAGTTATTAACAAATTAAACTTTCTTTTTATTTATTTTATAATTGTAATTTCAATAACTTAAATAAATTATGGATTAAGTATACACATACAACGTAAAAAATAACTCTAATTATATTAATATATATAATTTATTTACTTATGTATACCAACAAATATAATAAGTAGGGCTCGGAAGTTAATGCATTTTGCATTTTGTTTTTTTTTTTTGGAACTTATTAGATGATGCTCTCTTGGCCACAAATGTGTTTCATTAACATGTGAATCTGAATAACTAATTTTTATTTTGCATTTTTTTGGCTTGTTTTACTTTTTAAATCATTTTTAGGTTACATTTTCCTTTTTAGTACAATTTCTTGTTTTTTTTTTTAATCAAATTCCACCAATTAACGTCTTTACACACATAATTTTTGTTATACACAAGTTTTAAGTATAGGTACATCAAATTTATATTTTATAAAATAATAAATTACACAAGCTGTGCCTATACGGGTTAGGTAAAAATAAAGATTTGATAAAATAAGCAATTTTTAGCTGTCATTTTTACTATTTTCCACTAGATCACTTCTTATTGTTTCTTGTCAACCATTAAGTTGATAACTTAAGGTTGGAAATTACTTATTAGTACTTGGTAAAAACACTGGATTTCAAACAATGGTAACAATTTTAAAAATTCTAAATGGTGAAGAACTTTCAAGTGAGTATTTTCTGGATAACTTTAGTGCTGAAGATTTGGTCAGTTTCAGATTTACTCCTATCACTTAGGTGAATGTAGAGATAAGTTTTCCAATTATAAATATTTATTAATCGATAATCATTGTTCATTTACTTTTGACAACATCAAATATGCTCTAATAGTACAATGTAATAATTTTGAGTAATTTATAAGCTCTGATAAAATTACAAAAATGTTTATAGATTTATAAACTTTTAAAAAAAAAAATGTATTTTTAGTAATTTATAACAAAATTTGTAATTTTTTATCATTTTTATGTAGTTTTTACATTTTTTTATCATTTTAAGATCATCAACTTCTAAACTCTAATAATAAGCAAATACAGTAGAGCCTTGCTAGTCTGGACCTCCCATAATCCGATAAACACGATAATCTGGATGGCATAATTCCATATGTTTGTAAATACATTAATAGTTTGTTCGAAATTAAAATTATTATTCAAAAAAAAGAATTGCTAATTTCTATACTTAAGTTCTATTATTATACATATATTTTTTTTTGTAATTTATTGTGTTAAAGTTATTTATTATTTTTATAACTTTAAGTACCACAAATATAAAAGTGGTGGAATTAAAAATTAAAATCTTAATCATTTGAGTAGGTTATTTTGGAAATCTTCTGATAATCCAAACGAATCGGTAATCTGGTCGATGCTCGGTCTGAATTCTTCTAGATTATCAAAGCTCTACTGTATGTATTAACTTATTTTGATTAATTATATGTAATTTGATTTGACTGCAAAAAAAACATCTGTCACCAAAATTCAATTAAGTACCTTTATCTGTCCTATAATTTGAGAATCATTTTTATGGAATGTTTACTAGGTAATTTTAAATGGATCAATCAGCAAATACTATATAGTAATGTAGCTGAAATTTTTAATGACAAGCTAAAAATTAATTCTGATTGGAAATTTTCATTTATGCACATTTATTGAAGTTCTACAAATGAGAACTTCATTGATTAGTAATTATTTAACTGCAAAATTAAAGTATTAATCACCAAAAACAAACAATGATTCACAAAATGTAAAATATTGTAATTCATATCAATAAAAGAAAAGTTACTTGTCGAAATTCGTAACACTTGTTAATGAAACATTAAGTTACTAGTAGTACAAATATTATTTTTACATTATATATTGTAAGTTTTTTTAATCGTGAGAATTTAGAATTCCTTTTACTTATTATTATTTTTAAATCTACAATTTCATTATTTAACAAAATATCATAATCAAAATAACATAAGTAATACATTTTGATAATATTTCTAAACATACCTATAAAAATATACGTTTATTTATATTGAAGTAAATGATTTGGGGAAAATTTATCCTACACCAAAGAAATACAAGGAAATTTGATTGTTATCCACTATATTTGAATATTCAAACACTTTATATTAAACATTTTTTAAAGAATACAATATAGGCAATTTTTTAAGTACATAATGTCTTAAAATTAAAAAATATATAATTAAATTTCTACTTTGATATCTTCTTGATGGAAGAAATTATGATTAATAAATGCATCAATAACTATACAGTATTTCGTCAAAGGGCATTTTATTAAATTAATTTTTAAAATTTAACACATAATACAATAAAAAATATACAGCTTATATAAAATAATTATTTTAACATGAGAAAAGCTTAAAACTCAATTGTATTATAAAATGATAATTAGTTTAAGTTTATAAGATTGTATTATATTTTATATTGTACAATTATTAGTATGTAGTAAAGTATAATTTAATACAGTACAATGTTTTTATTAAATGGTATAAGGAATATAATTTAATATAACATTTTAAATATAAGTCAATCATATAAAGTATAAATACAACAATATATTGTGAATAAAAATTGTCTCACGTGTTCATTCATTTATACCCAACACTATTTTTAACTCAAATTTTTGTTTTTTATATTTTTTATTATATTCATAAGTAAAAAATGTATCTAAAAAATCAAACAATAGTTCTTAGATAAATAATACAAATTAAAATAAAAAGCGATATTAGTTTTAAATTTTCTTGATTTTGATTCTAAACATTTAATAATACCTTATGGTTTAACTAACTATATAATTAATGAATATTATTAAATTTAAAACGGAAAATATTTCTTAGATTATATAGATATAACATGATTAAACCAAGTTTAATTTAAAATAAATTTTTAAATAATTATGAAGAATATTTTAAATGAGTGTTTGAAGATCGTTGATTCATTCTATTTTGGTTTTAATGTAAAGTTTTGTTGAAATTATGAAAATATTATTTTAGTTGTAGAAATTAAAATGTTACCAATGGACCAAAAAAAAGATGAGACGTTTTATACACAAATTAGTATTAATACACATAATATTACTTATAAGTTATAACATTTAATTTATTTACAACCTCAATTTATACTATAGATATCAAATATAATGACAAATTTTGTCAGTTAAGACATTTTTGTTTTTCAAAATGTTCTTACCAGGCGATTAACAATTGTTTATTTCTCAAGAATATTAATTTAATTAAAAAATAATCCATTATTTTATAAAGAAAAAATTAAACATTTTTTATAAAGATTGAATTATTCCTTTCTAAAATAAATTCATTATTAGTTTTAAGGCTAATAATTATTATTTTATGATAATGATTTAATAATATTTTCACCATTAAAATTGTTTAATATTTAATTGATTCATTTCAAATGCATTATATAAGTTATATTGTATACAGGATATATCTAATTGCTTAAAGAAAAAGTAATTACATAAATCATTACTACATATTATATTCTCATTATAATTTATTTAGTCAGTGACACAAAAATGGAACAATATACTTTTTTACCTGTCTACTACACTCTATAAACAGTATTGATTAGTTCTACACACTATTTACAAAATGGGTGTTTAACAGTTGATTTTTTGTGAGGAGTACATTTAATAACAAATGATGTGAAATGACTGCTTAAGTTTTATCAGTCACTAACTCTAACCAGATATTGTGTCACTAACACAATATAGTATTTATGGTTTTAATGGAGAAACTGGGATATTAAATTTTAATAAGCAAAACTCAGTTGTTTTTGAAATTAAATTAAAAATAATTTATATTTTTTCCAATAATTAATAAAAAAAAGAATGCTAATAAATTAAATAATACAGAGGAATTTTTTATAAATAATATGGAAGTCTAAACTCTTAGATTAATTAATACTAATAAGATGGTTATTATTATCTTGTTACATAAAAATAAATATAATAATAGTTATCATTATTATACATAAATACATATATACAGAATGATTTTTTTATCAAACAATAATCATTATTTCAAATCTATTAATGATTTAAAAAAATTTTCTAACATATTTTCCAGTGTTATAATGATAACGTTTTTGATTTTATTTTCTTTTTTTGAACAATATACATTTTTAATTTCATGTTCTGCAGCAAAATATTTATCAGAGTATTTTGACACATATATAATATATGTGTCAATATGTAATTGAAATTTGGATGAATAGTTTATGAGTTGTAAGTATTTAAAGTAAAGGTTAGCAGAAAGTAAAACAATATTTTGCAAGGTATCTTTACATCACTCCTTCTTATTGGTGTATTTACAAGGAGATATATATATCTTTTCCTTTTATTTATTACATTTATGTAGTTTTAGTTGTGTTTTTTCTATTAGCCACTGTCAGTAATAAAATGCCGAGACGTTTGACATCAACAATTTTAGACAAATCTCCCCTTCATATAAATCCTAAATTTGTTATTGTTCTATTCTACTTAATATAACTTTAAGAATTATTCTTAAGCTACTACTCCAAATTTTGGTTTATACATATTAATACTTCGAAAAATATTATGCTTCAGGATATTAAACTTCAAGATATTTAAAAAATTATGTTTTATTTTTAACTGAAAATGATGTAATAACATTTTAATAGATTTTGAAATAATATGTAGTTAGATAAAAAAATCATCTAGGAGATACAAACATGTCATCACTTAAATTATGTTTTGACATAATAATTAAGATATACATCAAAATATTAGATATAACTATACTAACATTTATTAGCACTTAACAAATATAAATATAATCATACACTACATTAAAATATTATTTATATTATAGTCTCAAAAATGTGATCCTTAAAGTATTTATTAACTACTAAGTGGAAAAGAAGTCTAAAATTAAATAATTACAATTTTTTTAGTATTAATGTTTTATATTTGTCATAAATATAATATTATAAACTCAAAGAAAACCTGTACTAATTGAGGCATTTTGAAATAAACAGTTCATGAATTGAATTTTATCAGCATAAATTTTGATAAAATTATAATTAAATTTTATAAATGACAAAATAATTTGAAAGTCAACTGCCTTAAATCATATTAAATCTTTAATTGTCTTGCGTACATCTTTTAATATTTCTCTTAACTTTTGAAATGTCCCTACAGAATTTGGTAAGTTTTCATGATCTACCATATCAACCATTCCTTTGGCAAATTTTTCATGAGTTGGTCGATTTTCATAAGAAGAAAATTTTTTGAGAATTGGAGTGCCAAGGATTTCAGATTTTACATCACCAAATTTTCTCTTTGATGTTGATGTCGAGTTCAATTCATTGTCCGTCATTTTAGAATCGGAAATATCTGTTTGAGAATCATTTTGAGTCTCTACACAACTTTGAAAGGTTAGATTTTGCTCATCAATTCCTGACTCTGTTTCATTAGTCGGAAACTGAAAAAAAAATTTTATATTAACATACTAGGTAAATTAATGTTACTTATAAGTTATAAGTTAAAAGTTATTATTACATAGATATCATTTTATTATTCAATTTAAGATACCTTATCTATTACAACTTAAATCCATAACGTTTAGCTAGTTATTACAATAACTATTAAATAAAATGTGTGGGTTAAAGTAATAAAATACCAAGAATATTTATCACATTTTTACATAAATAAATAAATTTTTAAAATGAATAAAGTAGCAATTATTTATTCTCTTTACAACAAAATATTAAAATTTAACTTTGAATTTGATGAATTAATATTTGAATAATGTACTAATATAATTATTTAAACACGCTAAAATTAAAATAATTCTCACCTCTTCATCATTTTTTTCGGATTTACTTACATCTTCAGTAATTTCTCCATCTTCTGGTGATGAAGGTGGTCCATCTTTTAATTCTTCTTTAACTTGTAAAGTCGTAGCGTTTCCTTCAGTTGAACATTCTAAATTATCCAAATATATAAATTATTAAAATTATATAGAAGTTACATAAATTAGTATCAGCAAATATTAATATAATACTGATTACTGAAGTATGTATGATATGATTGTCATCTATGATAGAAAATGTATAATTGAGTAATAATACCATTCTTGAGAAGGCTCATCAATGCCTATCAAATGAAATTGGAATATATGCTTACTTACTACTCAGTATATGGTGAATAAAATACTTTATGTTGACCACCAATTATATACACAACAAGACTATAAACTATAAATAGTTTTATTGAGATTTAAAATATCTAGATTCTGAATCATGGAATGTTTTGATAGATTAAATTTAAGAAATTTTGTTTATCCATCAGAAATAAATTAAGTTGGGAATGAGAAGAGTTCTTTTTATTTTATATCCAATATCCGTGGGAAATAGATAAAAATACAGAATAATGTTGAATAAATAAAGAATTTGTAAACATAATTATTAGAATTAAAATCTTGGAACCATTCAGAGTTGACTTTTGAATACAATATTATGTTTGATATCATAATATAACACAGTGGTTTGGGAGGACTTGACACCCACATGTGTTTTTTCCACCTCACAAATATACAACATAATACATATTGGTTCAGTAGCAGCAGCTGTGTGTTATTAACAATAACATTAGAGTTTATTAACCTATTATCAAAATTAAACATCAGAAGTTAAGATAAGAAAATGATTGTGCTTGAGCACAAAAATTTTAGAATATTTTAAGTTGCAAGACATAAGTATTATAAATGTGGCCTGGTGTGGTACGGTTGTTAGCCTCAGTCACTAATGTGTTCCGAGGTCAAGTATCGATTAGCGTCGCCTAGCTCTCAAATGGGTGACTACTCGAGTTTTTAGTGATGAATCTATGGCGTACACACATACACACACGTATTTCCAACAGTAATAATCAAACTTTACAAACAAACCTTACATAAAATAACCTACTGTTCCTATCCACAGCTAATGACTGTAGTTGCCGGACTTAAATAAGATCAATAATAAAAAAAAAAGTATTGTAAATATTACAAGTTAAAAATGCCCTTTAAAAAATAATACATAAAAAAAAGCCAATACTAAAACACAGATATTGACATGAAGTTTACATGATTTTCAGGAAATTTAAAGTAAAATTATCCATTACAAAAATTATAGAAGAAAATATTTTTAAGGTTTTGATGCATCAGTTATAAATATTATTAATAACTGACCTTATTTCAAATTTTAAAATTTAAATTTAAATAGATATTAAATTATTCTGAGACAATATTTGAATATATCGATAAGTCATAATCTCAAAAATATAATTTTATACAATTTATATGATGAATGACTTTATTTTAAGAGACAAAAATATTAAAAAAAAAAATGATTTTGAATCTAGCTCACGCATTTTATCCATATAATGTGTAGGCCAAAAAAATAAAAATAAAAATAGTAGGCTGACAACCTTTTAAATCATTACCATTTTTGATAGATGCAAAACTTGTGTCTTGACTACTAGTTCCTGACAACGTTGCTCCATTATTATCAATTTGGCCATTTTTTAATCTTTCATACATAAGCTTAATGCTTTGGTCAGGGTTATATTCAGGACAACCAAATTTCTTCCCTTCCTAAAACAGCCCATCAAATATTATATAATACAAATTATTAAAAAAATTTAAAAATTTATAAACACAAAATATATACATAACTCATTTAACTAATTAGTCTATTATTAGTAAATAAATAAAAAAAAATCATACATCAATAACATCTGGTGGACATGGAGCATTAAATCCAGGAAATTCGTGTAATTTTCTCTCATTGATATTGCAATGAAAGTAATCATTTGTTCCAGTGTTTTTGCCAGGAAAAGGTAAACCTAAAAATAACCAAACAAATATTAATATATTATTCAAACGCAACAATATGATATTTAAATTTAACTGGTACTTTTAAATTAATAAAAAATTACAGATTATCTAAAATCAGATAGTGCACTTAGATAGTTAGCTCAAAAATATTAAAAAATCTATAGAACTAATAAAAGTATGATAGAATAGAAAAAAATTTTCTGTTTAAAAATATTTGACTCAATTTTAACATTATTATCAAGTTTAACACTGATATAGTTTATATATTTATATAAATATGTTTAAAATATGTATAAACAGTAGAATCTCAATTATACAAATCCTATATTATCTGATTATAAGTACATGGCAATTAATGTATCAGAATGTTCAATTATCCAAACATACTGGTCAGTATACTAATTTTATCATTTATGTCATATTTTATTATTAGTATACTATAAGCACATGTATATATACAATGTGAAAAATAAATGTAATAAATGTAATATGTAAATCATGATAACTTTTTTGTTATCAATAATAATATATGTAACAGTAATAAATATAATTTCATACATACTACACATTAAATATAAAATTAAATAAACATTTAAAAAGTTTCCAGTATCCAAACTAGGTATGATTTCAATTAGTTCTGATAATCAAAATTTTATTGTACTGACAATATAGTAAATAATTATGTGATCAAAACTAATTAGACCTGTTATTTTAAAGGATTTTGAAATTCTAATCTATCTAGTTTTATATCATAGATATTTAACTTAAATATATTTATTTTTGAAATTCAGTTTCCAAAATAAGTAAAACACACTTATAATTACATTCATTAGGTGTAGTATATATTGAAATCCCAGAATATTCTTCTCTAGCTTCTTCAAGCCATCCACTAGGATAACCATGTTCTCGCATTCTATAGATATGTATTGGAAGCCCATTTTTAGGAACACCCAATGCATTTAACAAACTATCACTTAATTTACCAGGTGTTAAATCACTGCATAAATTTTTATTTTCTGCTAGGAAGTATCGTACATTTTTATGATTTCCAGATCTAAATTATAAAAAATAATGTAAACAATAAGTTATTATTATTAATTTAATGTATGGCTGATTTACATTCTATATTTAATACTTTTTTTTAAATATTTATTTAATTATATTTGTAAATCTTATTTTAAAGCGTATCAATATATCAAAAATGTAGTTAACTCTTAGATTTTTTTTTAAATTACCGATTTTTGAAGTTTCTACCGCCAGAATTTTGTTGATGTTGTTTTTGCATAAGAAAAGCATTTCGATTTTTTGAAATTTTCCATTGAACTCTAGGTTTTGGACAATTATGCAAGGAATGGTCCACAGAATTACAATTCCAACATGAATTTTGTTTTTGCGGTGTAAAATTATTTTTTCCGTGTCTATTCTTATTAGACGCAACCTAGAACAAAAAAAATGAATTTTTTTTCAATAAATAGAATTTAAAATTTTATTGTAATATTTTAAATCCTCTGTATCGAATGACAATATTTTTGTATTTAATAAAAAATATTTTTTTTTTTTTAGTAATTTAAAGTAATTTAATTAGGTTAATAATATGATAATTAAAAACTTATTAGATACTTAATTATCATATTAAATTAAATTTGACTTTTAAAACTTAATATATATTTTAATAAAAACTACTAACAATTATGTACATATTATATAGTTAAAATATGATAATTAATTACCACAAATTTTATTGGACGATTTAGCCTAAAACTGTTAGTTCTGTCTATAACAAACAAAGGTTCACTTTCTTCTTTTGATTGTAAATCATTGGTTTCTGGATAATAATTTTGTTCAAAATCATGAGAAGGTCCTGAACCATCGTATGATCTAGAATTATTGTATAGTTCTTGATTATCGTAAGGTCTTGGACGATCAAATGGTTCTGTACCACTATATCCTGGTTCTGGATTAAATTTGTCTATGTCATCATTCGTAGTAGATTCACATTCCATGGCCCCATGATCGGTACTCATGATGAATGGTAACTGTTTATTACTATAACAAATACACAAAAATTGTACTAAGTAAACCAACAATATATAATTGTTATTATTAACATAGTGATATAATAATTAAGCTAATTGTGTTGCACAAAAACAGTAAATTTTGTTGTTTTTTGTTACAGTTGTACTCATTTATTATGCTATCTACATAGAAAGTTTTACTAACGACCTGCACCATAATACACTTAGTCTTAGATGATAACTACTCATTTTATCAGAAGTTCCCAAACTGTACGCCGCGGCGCCCTGGTGCGCCGCGGCGCGTTATTGGAGGAGCCGCGGCTGTGCCTCGCTATATTTATGTGAAGCTGGGTTTTCGGCGACCGCTGTGATAAAAAGCAAATATCGGTCAAAAATCAATGTGGTAAAGGAAATGAGAGTAGCAGTATCAAGTTTGATCCCAAGATTTGAAAAACTATATAGTGATGTCCAGGCTAAACTATCTCACTAATTCAATTGTTTTCTAAAAATAAACTAAATCTAATTTACTTTACCTAATAAAATTAAAATTAAATAATTCAGTATATAATTATATAAAATAAATATTTCAACATTATCTATTGAAAATTAAACATGTTTATTATTTTATCTATTTTATTTAAAAAAAGTCGTAAATTTTAATAAGGGCGCCACGAGTAGGAAAAGTTTGGGAACCTCTGCATTATATTATTGGCTGCATACTAGTTGCGTCCTAAAGATATCTATGAAAAAAGGTCTAATTCGAATTGCGGCCTGAGTTTATTTTAAGCACAAAAAATTGCGGCCCGGGTTTTTTAAATTCTAGATCTTGACTGATAAAATATAATCACAGTTTAATGTAGACCTAACTAATAAGTACACCTTAGTTGTCGCTTTACTAACGCTCTAACGCTAAGAACATTCTGTCACTTTTCAGTTTTAATTTATTTATAATATTGAATGAAATTTTGAGTGAAAAATATCGCAATTTATTTGTAATGGACGAATATAAATTTCGTTTCCATAAAAATTTAAAAAATAATGTTGATCGATATTGCTGTACTTAAAAGACTTGTATAGCATAAATTAATTTAAACAATAACGTAATTATTAAAAAAAAAGTTTTAAATCATGAAAACCACAAAAAAGATAGTGATGAAACATTAAACAGACTATAAGTAATCAAGTGAAATGTAAAGTTGTTGATGATATTAATCAGAAGCCAAGTAAAATTATTCATAGCCACCTTACACAAGACATAGACACTTTGACAACATATGATTAAACATTAATAAGAAAAAATATTCACCATGCTCAATCATACATTATGCTAAAGTTACCTGTGGACTTGAATGAATTATAATTTTTCATTAATAAATATAAATTATTTTCCCAAATGTTGTTCATGGTTTAAAAAATGGTAATTATTACTACTCTTATTTTTTATACTTCCCAATAAAGAAACTAAAACACATGAAAATACGTTTAAGCACATTATATCTGAATGTCTAAAATTATATCATTTTAATATCAGATTTTAATGTAAAAAAAACATTTTTAACCTTAAGAAATATATACATTTTTTCCAGTGTCAACATTTAAAAAAAAACAAATCATAATTTTTAACCTACCTGCAGTATCTACAGATACTACAGGCAGTCCTAAGTCTATATAAAAATGTGAAGAAAAATGAAGCTTTTTTTTTAATTTTAATTTACATATTTCAATTAATTTAATTTTAAATTTTGGGCCGCAATTAATAAGTAACCCAAAAAAAACTCGGGCCGCAATTCGGAAGAAATTTTTAATGTGGGGTGCAAATAGTAGCTGTCCATATTATTGCCAAAAAAAATAGGTTCTACTCACAAGTGTCTTATTTCTCATCTGATGCTCTGACTTATCACTGAGAAAAAAAAATCAAACTATCAAATACTATTTTAGTATAACATATATCTATAAATGTAATAAAGTTTATAACTAAAATTGTTAATGTTCTCCACATAGGAAAACCAAATAGAAACTTTTGAAATTTTGTAATATCATTAGATAGTTGAGTATGGTTATACAGAACAAAATGGTGCTAATAAGTATTATGAATAGTGATTACAAAAATAATAGTGTTGTTCTATTAAGATACTATTCCCACATATGTTGTCTCTGTCTGACAAACATTCAACTTAACAAATTTACATTCAGTAGAACCAATTTTGTGTTGTTAGCTTTAACATGTCAAACATTATTTGACCTATTATCAAAATTAAAAATGATAACAATATTTATAATTATTTTTTTTTTTTTAGTTAGTAACATTTATATAATTTAGTGTTTTAGATAGGTAATTCATTAATTGTTAAAAATTAAAATATCATAACAAATTAACACAATTTTTTTATATTGTATGGTTGCAAGACAGAAACAACACAGCAGTATCTTCTTAATCATATTAATAAATTAAGTTAAAATGAGAATTTAAATATATAATGTATACGTTTTTTACTATTGTACTTGGTTAACTAATTGGGTAAGGATAATTATACTTTTTTCTACAGAAAAATTGTTAGTATCTATCAATTTTTATTTGTGATATAATGAAATATATATGAGTAGATATATTAAACTTGTATCAAGAAGAGTGTATTTTTAATGTATTTACACATATGTATCAAAGTGTCATAAATTGGTGTAAAAACTATGAGATACGTAATTATATTGTAAACATCACATTAGAAGAGTTCTTTTGTTACTATTTTATGTTTCACAATCATCGACAGTGAACAATATGTGAAATTATAGCTCAAATTACAAGACACACATTGGATAAAGTTTTTGAAGACTAAAATATATGATTGCATTTTGAACACTATGTGTACAATCTAAAATACAATGCTCTATATCTCAAAATATAAATTTAATTAATATCGGTTCTAAAACATTAACATTAATCCCATTCTTAAGTCCCAAATTTGAACGACACTTACCATCAAAACATTCAATAAACAGTCCTAATGAATTGACTAGTTTAATATCCCGACCAATGAACTATTTGGATTTGGATCTGGCACGCACAATTTGAAAAATTAGTATTATTATTAATATTAAGGAATATCTGAAGATCAAGACATTGACCAAAACACGTTTATTATCAAATATCTATATTATCGCCACGATTTTTGAAAATATAATATATATATATGCATAGATGAGATATTATATGTAAAAAATACAGATCCTAAATCGTGGTTATCACTGACGAGAAACGGCGACTGGCCTATCGTGATATCACGGTATCAATAATAACAATAACACTAGCGTCGTCCAGTTCTAATCTAATAATATTATTTGTTACAGAAAAAAAATGGAAAAATTATGATTTTCAACGCAATATTGTTAAATACTTACCCCTGGTTTATTTTTTTTTTTTTGTCGAAGTCGATGAATTGATATCTTAAGACAAATAATATTTGTATTTTTTAACTTTGGTAATTGGTGCTATCTAACGACCAAATAATGACAACTTGCTTTATCAAATTGCTATCAACAATAATTAAATAACATTTTTTAATGAATAAATACATATCATATAAAAATTCGAGTGATCTTTTCACCCATAAATCAAATATAGTGAAAAAGCTTTTTGTACTTAAAGTTTCTATTGAATTTAGATAACTTCATGCAGACGTATTCATGTAAATACTATAAATTATCAATGCACTTTAATATAACATCTTATGAATAGTTTTGATGCAATATTTACATAATTTCAAAGTAAATTAAATAGCATACTACTATTTTCATACAACAATAAAAGCGGTTGGATGTGTTGAGCTTGTTTCTGATTTTTAATTTCAAAAAAACAACAATGACAACGCCTATACAATTTGATTCAAGTACTATAAGAGGTAAACAATTATTATGAACTTTACACTGTTAAAAATAACAGATATTTTTATTGTTATAGAAACAAATAAAAATAAAGAATACGAGTTATATAAATGTTATTAATTTTACATGTTTATTCTGTAAGAACATATTAATGTTTTGAAGTTTATGAAACCTTTGATTTTTGATCATGTACTAGAATTAATTACAACTAAACATTAAAAAAAATTAAATACTTTTTAAGTTGCTAAAAAACTAATTAGGCTTTTAATTACATTGTAGAAGATATCTTAAAGAATTATTAATTATTGGCTATTGTTCTAATTAAAATAATTTAGTTATTTACATTTTCAACTTTATGAGATTAAACTGTATACATACAGTTAAATTCAGAAATTCTCAATCTTTTTATATTCCAGTATATCTACAAATTTTGTAAATATCTACCTGCCACTTGAAAACAGATAAATATATAGTTTATTATTAAGAATAATTCTAATTTGTTTCTTCAAAGTTTCATACAATTAGTTAACCACTGGTCTAATATAAACATTCAAAGACTCATAGGTACCTATTGAGTATGTACACATAAACAAACAAAAATTGTAATTTAACTAAAATTTTAGATAACTTTGTAATTTTATCTGATATAAACCTAGATTATAGTGGATTATATGTTAACATAATTTTGATGCTTTTTTAATTATCTTTTTAAATATTTTAGTTATTTTGGCTGAGATTTTGGAATCTCTTACAACTTGTGAAAATGCATTGAATTTAGAAGATGCTAAAAGTAAGGCTGGCAATGACATGCTAAAAGTTATGCAGTATGTTTATCCTATAGTTGTTAGCACTCAGATGGATGTAATAAAAAAATATGGGCTTCCTGAAGGACGAGAAGGTAATAAAATATAAAATGTACCATTAATTTTATCATATGATGTACAACACTAGAATACACCAATTTTAAGTTAAATTTAATTATTATTAAAAGGAGAAATTCCTCACAAATATTTATGTGAGCTAATACTGAGTATAAATTGTAGTTAAAGTGATTGGTATGCGTACACTTTTTAATTTTAATTTTCTATCCCATCACCTATTTGGATCAACAAAATAATGTATTCCCTTTAAAAAAATTATAATTTAAAAATAAAAATAAAATATGATCATTTTTATGCAATTTCAGTTTTTGATAAAAGATTTTATTTTTTTTATTGTAACTAGGAAATAAATAACTTTAATGTTATTCCCCAAATGTTTATATGATAATTTTCTATGTATTATAAAATATTCATAATATTTTGAAACCATTTTAATTATTTATAAACATTTGAAATTTTCCATTATTTTTAATTTTTTTTTTATAAATATCAATAAAAACAAAAAAAATACTCGATATTTCCCCTTTTAAGGAAAATTCATGAATCATATTATATATATTTTGAATTTTTTACAATTATTTTGAAAATAAGATATCTTAGATACCTAAAATATAATATATATATTGTTGTTTATTATGAAGTATTACTATATTAATTGTAAATTAACATAATAAGTAATGCTATTTAATGTTACTTGAAATTGGTTAGTGTCAAAAATTCAAAATATCTATACCTAGCCCAAAATATTTGTATGTTAAAATATTCACTAGGAAAAAAAAATTGAATATTTAATACAAGATACCACATAAATTTTCCTTACAGATATGTAAAAATATTTAAAATGCATAGCCACAGTTTGTTTTTATAAGCATTTGTAATTCAAATGTTAACAATATTACATATTTAAACTATGAATAATGATATTCATTATTTATTTATTGTTCATAAGCATTATTCATTGGAACATAAAATATTTACATGTGTTATTATCATTTATATATACTTCATGATATTTTCAAATGTTTCTTTCAAAATATTATTTCATTCTTCTGTATTAATATACCAAAAAATTACCTTGTAGAAATATCGAAATAAAACTTAGTATGAAATATACCTAGTGAAATAGGCTTATAATAAACATTTATATTATTATGATAGTTGATATACTTTATTTAATTTAATTACCTCCCTCTAAACAATTGATTTAATATTATTTTTTTTGTTAATCTTAGAAATATTTTTTTACTAGAACTTAGAAGTAACTATTTTTTTGGTCATATAATTTAACTTCCTTTAACATGATAACATACGTGCATTATTATATAATAATAAATGTCATTGTTTTTTTTTTTTTTTTAACTATCATAAAACAAAATTCACACTCAAAGAATATACTCGAACTTATGCCATCTTTCATTTATTTTGAGTCACTTAAACTGAGTTTCAATAGATAAAATAATAAATTTAACAGTAAGGTAAATTGGAGTACATGTTGATTTAAAGCAAACAAAATAATTATTTTATTCATAATATAACATAGTATTTTATTCTTCATTTTTTATCAAATAATTATGTATCTTAAATTACCTTTAAGTTTATATTGAATTAAATAGGTATTGTATTGATTTCCTTCTTTCAGGAATTATAAAATTTACCAGAAGTGTAGTTGCATTTGAAAAAGATGATAGAGTAGTGGCTGATCTTCACCGTCAAATTCGATCATTTTATTTGCCACCAGTCAATGTTTCAAGTGTTGTGACTTCACATGTGTAGATTTAATCATTTAATTTGTAAGAAATGCCACATGAAAATTAAAATAGTTTATTGATTATGTTATAATAAAAATACTTAATACTTTTAATAATTTAATTTTTTATTATACTGTTAATAACTTAAATTTATATTTTTTTACTATGCTTAAATTTATAAAATATATATTGAAATTAACTATTAGCATATTAACCATTACTAACAATTTTATTTATTTTTATTTTTGTTTCAATCTTTTAGATCAAATAAACTATCTCTTTCTATCTTAGTTTTGTGCTAATACATGACAATGACAATCTGTATCTCAATGAAAGTTTGTAACATCTCTCTTGACTTAATCCTTCTAACACATTTAAAGTATTCTAAGAGGTCATTACTTTTTTGGATTATCTCATAAAACTATCTTTATTTATAATGATATTGAATGTTTATTTTATTAAATACCAGTAACTAGTTAGTGTAAAACCATATACATTTTCATTATTATTATTAGAAATTATCAAAACTTTTTTGTTTACATATAAATTAATGACTTTTGTAATTTTATTGTAATTTAAAAACTTCTTATATTACTTTATTACCCAAACTATATTGTTCTACATTAAACAATGAGATTTTATTATTTTAAATATATTTTAACAATTTTTAGCTATTTGTAAGCATTTTTAGTTCTTAAGAACTCAAAACTTTTTGACAATACGTAATATTATATACTTTACACCAACAATTTTCAAAATATTTAGTTTAATTTTAAGTTATTTATACCACAAATCTATTTATACTGGTTCTATGATACTTCAATATATCGACACATTAACAATTTTGTCAAACATTGAAGAAAATCATAATATAATATGTCTTGCAATTTATTTATGCAGAAATTAGTTCAATCTACTGCATTACTAAATAGTAAATACTAATAGAAATATGTATAAATATAAACTTGTAATAAATTATCTTTAGAATAATTAAATTATATACTGAAAAACCTAATTCTACTCAAAATCATTTTTATGTGTAATGATTAATCTACAAATTAAATTTAACACATCTATTTTCTACCTATCATGTTTATAATTTAATATATCGACTTAATTATACTTTGCTTAAAACTCTTAATAATACTTATAGAGTTGGTATTAGGTAATAAATATAATTTGATCTTTTTTTGTTTAAAAAGTATTAGGTATTTTAATCAACAATAAAAAATTTTAAATTGAATATGGGTATTAATAAATGGTGATTTTCAAAAGATATTGAACATCTTTAATAATTTTTCAATAAACAAATAAAAAAGCTGTTGCCTGTTATCATTATTAAACTAAAAAAAGTAATAATAGAAAAATGAAAATATTAAACATCAGCCTAATATCTATTATTTGCTTAGAACTATTTTTGTTTGGTTTGAATAGTTATTTTACGACTAAAGTTAAATTACAACTTAAAAAGAATTGTATCATGTAACATTAATAGATAGATACTGCAAAGTAATGGTACATGAGGTGAAGTATTGAAGTACCAATGCTCATCTGATTCACCTTCATGCAGCAACTTAAGATAGAAAAAAATAATACTCTAAACTAAAGTCAAAATTTTAATTGTGTTTATATAAGTTTTGCACAATAATGTATTGTTCACAATTGCTTACTGGTATTGAAATTATTTAAATTGTGACACATTATTTATAATTTAATTTTTGGGTAAAATCTTACTCTTATATATAGGTATAACGTACATATAGGTATGAAAAAATGTTTTACAATAGGTATGCTTAATTATTGCCTACATAAAAAAAAACTTTTAAAAGCACTACTAATCATTAATGTAGTAATTTATAACCCAGGCTTCTAGCTATGGAAATTAAATTCTGAAATACGTATTATTGGTACCTACTACCAAATATTTATATTATACTATACCACAGCGGTCCCCAAACTGTGAGGCAAGACTCTTTCGGGAGGCATGGTTTAAATATTGAAATTGTACCTACCTAAACACCATAAGTACTAATATAATACTATGCAGTAATAAAAAATGTTTCATTTATTCAAGAAAGGTGCGATCATTTTTTTTTATTTTTAGAGATGCGTGAACAATAAAAGGTTTGGGAACCGCTATTATTATACCATTATATTTCTATGATAACATAAAACTTTTAAAGTTAAAAGGATCACAAATGGTCAGTTATTTCCATCAAATAATGTATCAATCTATTATACCCATATGAAGTACGAGTATAATCATACTTTAAAAACTGATTTGAATTTGTTGTTATGTCTACTTAAAATTGATCAAAAGAATCTATGTATTATTTCAAAACTTCTATAAATTTGGTTTTAATATTTAAGATGTACCTATTTATACCTATATACAATTTTTACTTTAAATTAATAATTTATAAATGTAACTTGATCAATTTCAGGTGAACATATTATAAATTCAAAAGTAAATTTCTAGAAGTTTTATCATATTTTCAGTTCCTTCTTTAGAATAGACAAAAAATAAGCAAGTAAGCAAACATTTTATAATTATACTGCTTTCCAGCGTGCGACGACGCCACGGTGATGGATAACATATACACACACGACACACGTGCTGGAGCTTTACCCTTTTTATTTTATAGACATCACATCCGTCTAAACTATACGTACAGTATGCACACATTTATACAACAAGCATACACACACTTTAAATGTAGAAAATTATATTTATAGAACTAATTAAAAACTGTCGGTTTCGGAACTCCTTAATAGGTAGGTATGTTACTTGTCATCTGATAAATTTACGATTTACATTAACGGTGACATAAAATGTGTTATACCTAAACTTATAAATCTACAGATAATCGTATAATTGTTTTTGGTCAATAATGTAATTATAAATAGACGCTGAGAAACCAAGTAGGCCTCCGTGGATTTAACACTGTTTTAATATTACCCTAAGGAAACGTAATAGTCAAACGCTAATTTTTTTTTGTCAATGTTGCCCTGCAGTTTTGTGATAATAGCTATAGGTACCTAAGACTTACGTGGTTACTATACATAGGTAGTCTTAATAGAACATAATAGTGTATTAATATATTATATACCTATACCGAATGTCTGAATAAATATAATGTACCTATACCTAAATAATATTGTAACGTACGAACTTACGCCAAGGTAGAAAATAATATACATTGCAATTTCAACATTGTTAGTTTAGTACCAATAATGGAATAATACTTAGTAGTTTAGTCTATTCGTCTATAATTTAATGCGAGAGCCGAGAGGTGGCATATGGCGCGGCAATAACAATTGTCAGTTATATCTTATTTACATCTATCTGTGTCACCATTTTGTACGGACGGTATTCCTACATCATGAAATTATTCATAACATTAATTGAAACGGATGTTTTCCGACGAAGGTCGTCGAATAACGCACATCTGTCACACTTTATACAGAGTGATATTTTAAATGCAGTAAATTGTAAATAGTAATAACTGATGAGTAAACAATCATTAGATAGGTATCTCAAAAAATATTAACGTTTTTGGGAATATTTTTATTAGGTACTTAACTGTAAAATTATTAGCAATACCCAATAACGTTTTTATTAAAAATTGAATATTTTTATCTTTATCGTTATTATGTATGTTTTAAGTTATGTTATTGTAATTTTTCGAACAACACTACGACAGAATACATTTTTTATTTCCGAAACAAAATATAGGTACTTTTGAAAATGTTGATGAATAGAAATTAGAAATAAAATTTCAAATTAGTAGTTAATTAGTTAGATGATAACTTATAATTTCCAATTTGTAAATTATAAATATTTTAAGTTTAACGAAGTTGGATAATAAAACATTCAAAAATTCAGTAAAAATAATCTGCTAATAAAAATACAAAATTTAAAGTTTATATTCTCCAATTTTAAAAATTAAAAAACAGTTTAAGTTCATATTATAAATAGGTAGTAATATCAAATAGGTATACAAAGTGTCCATGGTGATCATAATCGTGTGTTTATCAGTATTCGCGATCCAATGATCGTATAATAGTAAATACCTACCTACTATATTTATCTTAATAATTAATTTTCAATTATAATTAGCTACTGACTCGCTCTACAGTTACATAATAATTGCGATTTAGGTGTTACTACATTTTAAAACTGTACAATTTAGGCACAATAACGATAATTATTTTATCAGTCGTCCTTTAATATTTAGTGTTTTCACCGATTTTATAATTTTTGGAATTAATAATATAGTATTTTTAGTGTATAACTTATAAATAAGTTAAATTTTTAAGAAAAAAGAAAAAGATAGGGTAAAAAGCAATAGAAAGCAGATTTTTGGAAATAATCAAAAACATTAAAAAAAAGTTAACTTCATTATTGATATAAGAACGATTCAAAACGTTTTTATATATAATTATTATCTTTCCATTACACTACCTACCGTCAAAAGAAGCATTTGCTACAAAGTCCTAGCCCTGTATTTATATATATATATATATATATCTATATTAGCCATAATTTATTGCTATAGAGTTATATAATATGTATAAAATATGTATATGTTAGGTAGGTATATGATAATATATAGACATATGCCAGATGACTATTAATGAATATTTACTATTTATGCATCACAGTCCGTAGATATTATGAAATAGTAAATAATTCAATAACGACTTTAATAAAAATATATGATATTAATATAGGTACGTGCCTACGCGTGGTTGTGTATCAATTGAAAAATAAACCATTCGTATCGGTGATAAAAATTCCAGATTAGACTACTTCACACATGGTTTGAAATATATTTTAATCTATGAATGCACATTATCTAATGTTCATTAAGTTAACAAAATCAATAATTTGCCTATAATTATTTCCTTAAGCCATGCAGTGTTTATATTGCTACCTACGTTAAAATATTATCGAAAAACTGAAAAAACGTATTAGTTTTTGTTGTTTGTCTTGGCACACCAGAAATCCGAATAATAATAAGGAATGTGAAAAAAATATTTATACTAAATTGTTTAGCAATTTAGTTATTAGTTAATAATTATTTTGAAATGTTTGATACATTTTGTATTTGATAGGTATCTATCGATACGTAAATAAAAAATTAATATGCTGTTGATCAAACTAGATTCCAGTAAAAATTATAATACATTATAACAAGGGTATTGGGCATTAATTAACAGTATAATAGTTAAATTATTATTATTTATTTGTTAATTACCTACACAATATTATAGACATGATGTTCTTGTAAATTTAACTATATAATAGGTACTATATTAAAAAACGCATAGTACCTATTTTGTTACCTAATTGTTTTAACTAATTAAATTATTGGGAGTGGTTCCTTTAACACGTGTTGATGTGAAATTCAAATAATAAAAACACATTTTCTATTGTCCATTGGGCATTGACAGTATAAATGTATAATAGTATAATACAATTAAATTACATGGATATTATATAACTATAAAATAAACTGTATATTTAATTTATTCTCAATATCCACATGTCACATATTCGTATTTAGGACAATTATATAGGTACACATAGAAATTTAATATAGCGATTTATTATTTATAAGTGCAAACCATTCACCATATATGCATTTTTTTACTATAACATAATAAATTAATAATATTTTTTCTCAACTAGGCAAGTTGATAGATATGTACACCTATATGTGTATTAAAATACTTGAATGTTAAAAAATATTAAATATTTTATATTTACGGGTATTAATTAATGTGGAGTTTTTACATCAGCATTTTATATGCCATTACAACATTTAAAAATCTTTTAACAACATTCTTTAATCTTTTAAAAACATTTAAAAAGCCATGTGTATAAAGTATAAGTCCTGTGAGAAATAATATCAAGTATTAGAATTTAATCTTAGACAAAAACTATAAGTTTAATTCAATTTACAAGCAGCTTTTTAAATGTTAGTTAATTTGCTATTACACACCGTTAAAAATCGATGAAGTTTTAAGTAATTGTTTTTACTTTAAAATAAAAATACTCATTGACATAAAACACATTTATGCTTTATGTGATTATATGAGTATAATTATATTTAGGACTTTAATATGGTGCAGCTAATAGATTCTAAAACTGATTTGAATCTAGGTGACTAAGTAAGCATTAAATTGAATTCATAGAAAAAATCTTGTAGTATCATAAACATACGATCCCTACTCCCTAAGACCCTAGACCTAAACAATATAATATATTTTCTGTACTATATTGGCCTGCACTATGCCTAAAGAGTTAAGACTTGTGAATTCCAAGGTAGTTTGAGCCGTTCTAGGACTTATAGCCATATCTAGGTTTATAGGTATCTAGATAAATGATATCTTAGTATGATATAGTTACCTATTTACATATGCGGAATTAGAGATTTTTATTAGATTAGGCCACTTTTCCTGATCAATTTCGATATTTATTTATAAGCTGTAGGAGGAGGAGTTGAAAAATTTTTAGTATTTTTTTTTTTTTTTTTTGATAATTAATTTATTGCATTTGTATACACTTTTGTATATTTGTGTCAAATATCTATGAATTTTTATTTAAAAATAAAAGTAATAATGTATATATAAGTACTTACAGTTCAATATTTTTTTATTTAAAATCGAAATCTGAATTTCTTTGATTCAACATATTACTTATGTGCTGTTATATTTGTATAGCATTCTATATTTCTATATTTTTTTATTTAAAAATAACTAAAATTTAAACAATAAAATTTACTTTTTTAAAGTGATATAATTAATTAATTTTAATATTATTTAAATCAAGAGAATATTTATAAAACTAAACGACGATAATATGGAACCATTTTTTAAACGTTTTCGATTATTTTATTGACATCGATATTTTTTGCCATGATATAATATCTCATTCTATTGAAGTAACAAATTGCCTATTGACGTTCCTGATCATAGTGGTACAATAGGTTTAGTTTAGTATGTATACTTACTTGTAGTACTTGCACTATCATAATCGAAACAATTTAAGATGAGAGAAAAAAATAGTCTAAATAACAAAACATTAATGAAACATTATAATATTTTTTGTGTGTTCCACGTTATTTTACATTTTCAAAAGATAAATACAATGTTTAGAACTTTAGGTACTTCTAAAAATAATTCAAACTAAATTATAATTGATTATTGTTTTATTAAGAAACAAATTACGATATTTATTTTGAACATTTTTACTTATTTTCAAATATATTTTCTTGTATAATACCTATGTGATATTATTATATATTATTTATTATTACATATTAAATATTATTATGCTCATTTAATATATTAATTTACTGTAAATATTAGTACAGGACGAGATTTGTCTGGGCCAAGGCCTAGTTGGCATAGGCCGTAGTTCTACCTATGTCTACTTAATAAGATACATATTTACCTACTTAATAAATTATAATTATATGTTATTACCAATACGTCATCATAGTTTTTAAGTATAGTTAAAAATGAGTAATTACTAATTACCAACTTTCTAACTACTGGCTATTTAAGATTAATACAATCTCAAATATAATAGATTATAAACGATAATATATTCAGTAATCAGTAGCAAAACACAGATAGAGGTTCCTCAAATAAAAAAAGCCCTTAAAATTTTTTTGGGATAAGATAAAAACATCCAGTTTATCTAATTTGTTTTAATATTTCAAAAGTAAAAACAAATGTATAATTTATTTTTATTTATATCGTTTAGAAACTATCAGAATAGATATCATTGTATTTCTCTCCGTTATTATGGCTAAAATGTTTTGAAGTTTGAAGTATAAAGATAAGAATGCCGTATCCATATGCTTAATATCAATGTTATTATTAATTATTAGTAACAATAAATTAATGGTAATAATTTATTTCCATTTAATTAATAGTATAATTTTTTATCGACAGTTATAGAAAAATACTATAAAAATTGAAAATTTATCATACCTATAAATATTTTAAAAAGAGTTAAAATTTGTTGACAATTTTATCATAATATAGGTATTAAAAATAATAATTTAGAAATTTCAAGTATCTACACACTTATCTTATTATTTTTTGAAATATAACAAAATATTAGACATTTTTTGAGGAAAAATAATTATTTTACGGATGAATATCTAAACATAGGTAGGTACTCTCCATTTTCACTCGTAATAATTTTATAATTAAGTAAGTATTAACTAATTGTGTATCACTGGCTATGACATTTTATCTATACAGACTCAATTCAATATCACAGGTTATAAACATAGAAATTAATTATTTTAAGCTTTATATTTAAAGTAGGACTAATAGGTAATAAAACGCTTTATCGTGTATATATTTCCGTGTAGCTAGGTACCTATGTAGATAATAAATAATAATGTAATTTTATCAAAATACGATTGGATACGATAAACAAGCTAAATATTTTAGAATTAAAATTATAGCACAATTGGCTAATAAGAAAATAAATTCAATTTTTTTAAAGTTAATCCTTCAATAATTTTTTATTATTTCTTAAGAGTTAAACTTACTTTAGGAGGATGCGCTAAGACTTATTATTTGGTCTCCCCATCACGGGTTCTATGGAGTGCAATTTTCATTTAGTCATTAACGCTATTGATTATACCCACTATATTTACACTATTTAAGCAGTAGCTAGAAAGCATTATTAAAAAAAATGACGTTGGGTAAACAATAAACATATTTGTTTTAAAAAAAACATGCGTAGGCCAACAATCAATATTTATACCTATACATACTATATAAAATCATTAAAACGAACATTTTTATTGCTGTAAACTTAATTATTTTATGAGGGAAACAAATTATATCTCACGTTCAATAACCTTGGCATATACATATAATATAAAAGACCGGAGCGTCCGGATTCCGGAATTATCTATATTGTGTATTTGTGTAGGTTGGTCCCCTCGCACGCTCATTCAGCAACCATATATTATATTACAATAGCAGGATAATATAAGACGCAATTGTTAAACTCATCAAAATTGAAGTATGAAAAATGATTTCGGTGACCGACATTGTGATTACGATAATCGTTATTCATTAGAATAGTCATAAACTCATAACTTTAAACTTATAATATAATATCTAATAATTATTATTAATAATATTTTTTTGTTATTCGTAATAACTGTAATAAATAACAATATATAGGTAGTCAACAATAATAATTACAATAATATATCCCAGTGCCCTGGGCTTACATTTGCACTACAGGTATAATGCGTAAATATTATAGGTAAATCGTAGATACTATTGAGCAAAAGTATGGCACGTTTGCGGTTTTTTCTAGAAACAAAAGTGCACACTGGAAAATTGCTTAATTTATAGTTGTTAAATTTCGTAAACTCGTTAACTATATTTATTTTCGCTAAATTGTTAGGTATATCTGGCTCACCATTATTAAAACGTTAAGATATTACCTACCTACCTAATATTTAACGAGAGAATAAATTAAATGAAAAATTCAACTAGATTTATTTCATAATATTATAGTTACAACGTAGGTACAATCATAAATTGAATTTTATTTAAAAAAAAAAAAAAAAATGTTAATTTTTTTCGCATTGAACGTGACCAAATTCGTTTAAAATTTTTAACTTCGGTTCACGAAATCAACAACAAAAACAATACCCAACAATAACAGATAACAACATCGCATTATCGCGTAATTGCAAGTACCGCGCGCGCATGATATAACAAGTCCCGTCCCGTACACTTATTATCGCATACCGACGGTGGAGGCGGCGGCTGTTACGTCGGCGGTAGGCGTTTGCCGGAACGCTTTTGGTTTCTTCCATGACCGCATCGTGGGCGTGCTATACTGCGGTGTCGCAATGTCGCTTCGATGCACCGGTGGCGGTTCGCGGGGCCGCCGGGAGGGCGTAAACTGTTTTTGACTCGCGCGGTCGCGGTGATAGCGAGTCCGATAATTTTTTTTTTCCACAATCAGTCAACCCCGTCTCCCTTGCATACACCAGTTAATGTTAATACGCTATCAGTCCCGTCGGTCGGTCCTCCTCGGCGTCGGACGAAACCACTAAATTCCGGTCCGAAGCTGCGTTCTTCCCAAAACCACTGCCGCCGTCCTGCCTGAGGCGTGACACAATTTCACGCTGACCGTTGTTCAACAATCACTGTAAGTGCGATCACGCACACTGACGACAACACGGAAGCTGCCCCACGTTTTCGTCATTTCCGTTTCGATTTTGGAATGACCAGCGTTACACGTCGTTCATCATGACTGTTGACTTTTGTGATTATTTCTGGGTAAATATTTTTCTGATCGATTGTCTCCAGGCATCAAATTGACCATTCGTCAAATTTATTTATACTCGTCTCTCTTCACCTAGTTTTGGATTCCATGGTTCCTGAATCCTGATATGTCTTAGTCGTTTAATATACGTTGTAAATGCGCGCTCACACGCACGCACACACACTCACGAACACACATACCTGCTCAATCGTAATTTGTTTCTTAAAGTGTTTAGTTGACTCCAATCAATACCAATTACTTTTTTGACCTCCTGACTAAATTTTATTTTTTTATTAATTATATTTTATTTTGCTGTACAACATTTTTTTACCATGTAATAATAATTCTCCGATACTATACAACATATTATTTCATCTACGTTTTTGTATATCATGTATTATTTATCCTGCATGATAAAAGCTTAGGTTTTGTTATAGTGATAAATATAATTTAATTAACTATTAAAAATCTATGGCCAGAATCATCCCATTAATATTAATATAAAACATAAAAATTAAAAAAAGACATGGTATTTTCTATAAAAAATATAGATCATGAGAAAATTCTAATTGTAATATTAGGTTCCTAGAGACTTACTAGATAGTGATTTGTATTAAAAGAAAGATAATAATGAATCAAGTATTTAATTTTAATGCCCAAAAACCCTCAAAATATGCTAGAACAAGTATATCTTAATATGCCTTATAGTATTTGAAAATAGATATGTTTAATTTAATGATCTTTTACAATCAATAATATATGATAAATATTAAAAAATATAAAGTGGAATTATAACAATCTGCACTTCTTTTTATATATTATAGGTATTTAAAAAAAATAATATATTAGGTATATTTTGAATTTATTCAAATGTGTATAATGTATATTTAACCTTAGTTATGTATATTATCTTTTTCGTATTAATAACTTTGAAGCTCTTAACCATTCTTCAGTTTTATAAGGCTTTTTTTGACTATCAATTTTATTATTTATTAAATAATACATGCTTGAAATCACATGTTATTTAATAAATGTTAGTTATATATCTTATATTATATGGAATGATTCTGTTTAAATATGATATATCAGTCTAATTGACCGATGCTATTATTAACTTTTATAAGTTACAAAATATGAAAATTTATAAATTTAAAAATATTTCCATTTATTAATGCAAAAAATTACATCTATCATCTATGTATTAAAGTATATTGTTGTATAATAAAATCATTGTTAAATCAGGAAAAAATAATTAAACCATAATATATAATTGATTATAAATTGAAATTTATCATTTATTATAATTCGGTCAAAGAGACCAAATACACCTTTTGCATAGTTTTTCAATATATCAGATTAATTTATGCAATATCATTTTGCATTATTTTACCAATTATAAATAGTTAAAAAATTGTGTTGTGTTTTTATTATAAAACATTTATTCCTATTTTACTTCAGTTATTAGTTTGACAGTGTGATGAAGACTGCAGTTGGTTGTGTTTTAAGGAGGAAAATATTGATAAATTAAAGTTATATAATGGTATTTTACACTTATAAGTGTATAATAAGTAAATGAACATGTATTTTAAAAGAATCTAATGTAAAAATGTATATTTTAGGAATAACAGTCTATAGTTATAAGTGTACTGTAAATTATTATTCTTAAGCCAATTAAAATGATTTTAAAAATTATATTTTTTGACTATAGTTATCTTACTTTGGTTGGAACATTTTTTTTTTTTTTTAATAAGTTTGATAAGCATTTTAAATTTTAAATAAGTTCTATATATATATATTTTTATTTATTACAGATTTAGTTGAAAAACAATTATTAAAAATTACTTAGCTTAAAACATATAAACAACATTTTTATTTTGAGATGTTATATTTTAGTAATATTCAAGCATGTTAGTTTTGAATGATTAAAAAAAAGTTCTTTGTAGTTTATATTTTAAATGTTGGTAATAAATTATTCATTTTGATATTGAATACTGAAAATTTGCTTAACATTTATTTTGAATATTAATTTGGTATTTAACACTCTTGATTTGTTAAATAAAATATACTAACTAAAGCCAGGGCCCATAATCAGAGAATAGATCACAATCTAAATCTGTAAAATTAAAAGATATATTGACTTAGTTAACTAATGTAACAATCATAATTTTATTTTTTTATTGTTTTAGGGTGAAAAAAATAATGGATTTGACATTTTGTACCATAATATGAAACATGGGTTAATTGCTAATAAGGATCTATCAGATTTTTTAAGAGAAAGGTAATTTTTTTATGTAGATAATATAAATTATTTTCTAATAACAATTGAAAATATAGTGTATTAATTACGTAAATTATACATAATTTAAATACTACTGTTATCAGGACTAATATCGAAGAAACATGTTCAAAATTACTTGCAAAGTTAGCTAAACAAACAAGTAGTAGTTCAAATACAGGAACATTCAATCCTTTATGGCAATTACTTCGTTTATCTATTGAAAAACTAACCACAATACATATGCAAATGGTACATAAAGTCTGTGAATTAGTGAAAGATGTTACTAAATATACCGATGAATTGCATAAAAAACATAAAACTGTAAGTATAAATTATAATCTACATCTGAAATTGATATTTTCTATAATTTCTTTTTTATAATTTAATAAATACATTAGGTTAAAGAAGAACAAAGTGGAACCTTAGATGCAGTACAAGCCATTCAATCAACCTCATTGGCCTTACAAAAAGCAAAAGATATTTATGTACAAAAAGGTGGAGAGTTAGATAAGCTTAGAAAAGATAATGCCTCTGCTAAGGAAATTGAAAAAGCCGAAATAAAATTAAAAAAAGCTCAAGATGATTACAAATTATTAGTTGAAAAATATAGTGTTGTAAAAGAAGAATTCGAAAAAAAAATGAATATAGCGTGCAAGGTTAAAAAATTTTATTTTAAAAAAAAATAACCATCATTGCTTAATAAATCAATTGTATAAATTTGAATTTGTTGATATAGCTTTTTCAAGAAGTTGAACAATCACATTTAAAACAAATGAAAGATTTTCTCAACGTTTATACAGATCTAATTGAAACTAATCATGAAGAAATTGGAAAGGTTAGTTAAAGTTATAATTTTAATTTAGAATACATGAAAATCAAAGATATAGCTGTATAGTATAACTGTTTTACTCTATTAAATTAATCAAAACAAACATGATGTGTTTATAAACTAATAATATTGTCTATATTTAGGTTCATGTTGAATTCAAAAAACAATGTTTAGAAATGACTGTGGACAAATTATTGGAGCAATTTGTTTTAACAAAATATACGGGATTAGAAAAACCAGGTATTTGGTATTTTTATTTTACAAATTATTAGGATTAAGATGATAATGAATTTAAGAACTTTATATATGCATAGACATATTTGCCATAAATTATCAAGATATATTCTTAAAATAATTAAGTATAACATAGAATGTTTTAAAAAAATACTGTATATTTTTATCAACTATGAATATGAACTACATAATTTATACTTGGTGCTTGTATGAGCCATGAGTATGAAACAAATATAGTGTGAAAAAAAAAATTAGATAATAAAATATTTTATGAAATAAAAAATTCAAGAAAATTTTTCTATTATGTATAAAACTGCAATTATAACTGCTTCCAAGTTAAACTTTATTTATTTATAATTTTTCTACAATTATTTTCTACTAAAATAGAAAAAAAAAAGAAGTATATTAATGATAAACATACAAACCTTACTTATTATAATATATAATTATATATTTTTAATTGTATTCAACTAATAATAAATTGTATTTGTCTTTATTAGAAAACATCGAATTTGAGGAAGTTTGTCTGAATAGCACTACCAATAGTTTGAATCAGGTTCCAGACTCTTCAAGTGATTCAAAATCAATTCAAGGAACCAATTCACCAGTCTTTACGAGTACTCCACAAAATTCATGTTCAGCTAGTGTAGCATCTGAAAAGCCTACGGCAAAACGTGAAGGTAATTGCCGTATAAGGGACAAGAAAGATGCTACCAATTACCAGTCCTCCAGAGCAACATCCTTACTCAATATCTTCATCTCCAACTCCCATGGTATGTTCATTTAACAATAAATTTTTTTCAACCTCGCAATTGGCCTACCGGAACTGCTATTATAGTAGAATTTTTTTCTGCACCGTACCAGCAATCGGTAATATCAAACATCTTTTTAGTTGCTTAATACAATTATGTTTGTATACTAGTTAGTATTACTTGACCAATTCCCTTAATATATCAGTGTTCATTTTCTTCTATATTTTTAAATCAGTATTTCATTTCATTACTCACAAACACATGAAATGCAGTTGTATTAAAATTATTTTGATTTTGCTAACATAATTTTAATTCTACTTATATTAATAATATAAACAAACATTTAATTGAAAATGTACTTGCTTTTTCATGAACATTTTTAATATTAATAAAATTTCAATTATTAAATATTTATTTAAAGGTTAAATTGATAAACCAAAATTTCTACTCTGCTATGTTTAAATACCAAAAGTTAAATGTGAATACTATATTAATACTTATTGATTTTTTTTCTTCTTTTAAGTTATGAGTTAAGTAATGAAGTTGTTTATCTCAAATATAAAAATATAAGTGCATAGTATTGAAAGAATTTAAAAATGGTCTATTAAAATTTTTTTGATTATTATAAATTAATAGTATAATTTTATTCATTATTTTTTAATATTATAAGATAACATTTATAAATGTTAGTGAATTTAATTTGTGGTGTCTTTTTCTCATATTGGATTCCTGCTATAATGAAGTATAATATACAAAAAATCTATGAATTGTTATGTAAGCAATTAACAAATTAATGATAAAATAATCACACATTAATTTTGTAGTCATTTCTACATAATATATAAATAATAATTTATAGTATTTTGTAGTAATTCTTGTTTATAATAATTATTAATTTGATTTTACTAACTACAATTATTGGTTTTTAAATATATTTTTAGAAAGAATAATATTTATAATTTAGAAGTGATATTTCTTTATTTTATTGTTTTCATTATTTATCTATAATAATTATTTTATACATTTTTATTCATATTAAATAATTGTAACAATGTATTACAAAATACTAAGTATAATATTTATGCTCTTCAAAATGTACCTACCATTGATCATTATTCATTTTTGTCTTGCCAAATTATGTATAATGCATGCATATTATTTATGTAAATTAATCATAAGCTTTTGTGTTGTTATTTAAGTAAAAGCTGTGTTACAGGTGCTTTTTCAAAATCAAACAGAACTGTGAGTTTAAGTGCTGATCACACAGCTTATTCACTCCCTCAGAATTCTATTCGTGGATCAAAATGTAATTTGTGTTTATTATTATTGATCCTTAGGTTAAATTTTCTTGCATGTTTACATATTTTTGTAGCATTTTCCTTTAGATCAATGAAGTATGCTCCCTTCTTAAGCGCTATACTCAGATTTATTTGAATTCTTATTCTTGATATATACTGTTTAAACAAATATATGTATGAAGTAAGTTTCTGATAAATTAAATTTGATAGTTAAAATTTTAATAACCTTAAAAATTATCTAGGTATACAATATTTTTATAATTTTGTATATAAAATAATTATTTCAATGGTAATACAAAAGTATATTGTTGATAATACGCTAATTATTATTCTTAAACATATTTTATACTTATATAGTATATTTATTTTAATATTTCTTTGCAACAAATTATTTAAAAAAATTAATACAATTGTGTTTATAGTGATTAAATGCAATTCTATACTTTTATGTATTCACTATTTTTATAAATTATATTGTTAAATAATATCATATTTTTTTTATCTGAAACAAAATAAATCTTAACATAATTTAATTAAAAATAATTTTCTGAAATAGCATTTGAAATTATGCCATTTGTTATGAACTGAATGCTTTTATTTTATTAAAAATTATATTATGCGCTTATCATTGCATTTAATCATGAAGTAATCAAATTTATTAATTACAAATTAGTCACTTTTATATTAAGGAGAATGGTCAAAATAGTATACATATTTTATTTCTGTCGTTAAGGTATTTTATGAACATTTTTTTTTATGCATCCATTATATTCTATATTCAATATAAATCATTAGGAATTTTTTTTTTCATATAATCTTTAATAAAAATAAAACTTTGGAATAATGTTATAAAAAACATAATTTATTATAGTTTTTTTAGTACTTTATTTATATTATTTGTTTCAAAAGTTTTCAATAAATTCATCAATTCATATTATTTTTTAAACATATTTTTGGACTATTTTTACAAGTTAAAAACTAATGTCAAAATCATTACAGTTAACTATGCTTTACAACTAAAAATTGAATCTTTTTTATTAACATATATTTATATTTAGCATGCTGTCATACAAGTACACAACCTTCAAGTTAACTAATTTCAAGGTGGCCAAATATATTATAAGGGCGGCTATAAGTATATTTTTTTATTTCATATTAACTATAGAACTCTCCGAAATGAATTTCTTTTTATCCTTTATACATCCTTTGAAATGGCTTTTATTGTTGCATTTTTTATAAATTATTACCTATATTATGTATTTATTTTTAATACAATTTTATTTTAATTGTAGTTGCATGTATGTTATTTACAGTTATTTTATAATTAGCACTATTTATTGAGATGATATTCAAGTGCCAAATACAAAGAGAATGTGTTTATTATTTTGAAATAATACATTTGTTTTTACTATATCTTTATTATATTGTTATCTCTTTGTATTATGTACTCAATGATTTATATTTGCCATGTAATTTGGTAAAGTAATTAAATATATGTTCAGGGTTTTTAAGAAGTAGAAGAGACAAACGTAAAGAAAAGAAAACTAAAAAGAAAAAGGACTCAAGTGGTGAAACAATTAGTAAAGAAGATAAATCTGATAAGTAAGTAAAAACTTTGTTATCACATAATTTGTGTTGTATATTAAATTATTGTGTGACTTTTAGTGAAGAAAAAGAAGAAGAGTCGAAAAATTGTGCTCCAGAAATAGATGATGAAGGATATTGTATTCAGCCAACAGGACAATGGACTATTGACAAAGAAGAGACATTTGATTCCTCATCTGATTCAGGTTCATAATATTTACTTTGTTATAATTCAAACTATATGCACTTACTTATTATGAATAACTATAGATGAAGAAAGAGATAAAAGACTACACGTTGAAATAAAACCATTGAGCAATGGGGCAGGTCCAATCAGCGCAAGTGTTGATGAATTAAGAGCCACTGTTGAAAACATATCATTAATGCCGCTAGGAACACATACTTTGAAGGTAACTTAAAATAAATAAATGTATTAAATCTTACTTTAAATTATAATTTTTAGAATCGACGAGGATCAGCTAATGATGATGGTACCATGAAACGTTCTAAATCTGTTTCTCAGCAATTGAATACTGCGTAAGTAATAATTTAGCAACACATTTATTGTTTTTCATGTATTTACATTAGTATAATTGTGTATGTTTTAGGAAAATAAGTAATGATCTGATAGGACTGAATTTGTTTCAATCCAGCGAACCCACTCCTAATTCAGTTCAGCAGACTAATTCAATTAATAGTCCTACATTATCCTTAACTAATAAATCCATTTCTCCGCCAAACGTTTTCCCTGTGGTTTCAAAATATGCTGCCGGTAATAGTAATATAATTTTATACATTAAAATAATAAAAAAAAGTAACGTATTAATAATAAAAATGTTTTAGACCTAGGTGATTTGTTTTTTGATGTTGGAGATGCTCAACAGTCCACTCCAAAACAAGGGCCTCCATCAACCACTCCTCCGGTGTGTTCCATTTCTATTCCTCGTCCTCCTTCAAGACGTGAGGTAATCATTAAATTATTCAAATAATAATATGGACATTAGACATTTTGCTAAATTAACTTTAACCCTTTAACTTACAGAAATAATTAAAGTTGTTATTTTATACATTTTTTTTAAATCATTATACATATGCGTTAGGTTAAGTTTTATTTTATTATTTTATTTTGTTTTTAAAAACGAAATTACATTTATTTTCACATCACTTACATAAAATGAAAAGTTTTTCACTAAATAGATATGAAAATTTGTAATAATTTATAATAATTAAAGACCACTATTTAGTAAATGTATATAATAAATTATTAACATAAAAGAAGATAAAATAATAAATCAATAGACTGTTAGCTTTAAGTTAATTTATATAATATCCAACTAAAAATAAGATTTTATTGAAATTTTAATTTTAAGTGAATTATATTTTTGTAAAATATTAAAACTTAAGAATGCTCATAACTTGCTTTAAAATAAAAATATCAATAAAAGCTTATGTGATGCCCTAGATAATATTTTTTCTTTAAGTTTGGTAATAGATAAATTGATTCTAATATTGAAGTGTTGTTTAACGCAAATTTTCTGTCTATGTTAGTAAGATGGAAACAACACGTATTAGTATGAAATCCTCTTAATATAAAATAATACAATTAAAGGTCATATAATTTTACAAGGTAATACAATTTATTAATTACAAATTATGTTACTATAAGTTAATATCCACATGACTGTCAAAAATGTACAGCATCAATCTTATATCATGATTATTATGACAAGTTATTTTTTATTTTTAAAAATTGAATATCTATGTGTAATTTTTTTTTGTTATTTATATGTGTAGATTGTATAAAAAGTTCTGTATTGTTAAATTTCTATGTTTGTTTTATAACAATTTGTGTTTAAATGTTGTGTAATTGTTAATAATACAAAATTTAAAAAATGCAGATCTGTTTTTGTGAACTTGAATTTTCAAAATTCACGAAACATATCAGAACAAAAATAGATGCAACAATATAATTAATATATATTATATAAAAATGGTATGCTTTTAATTAGTTAAAATAAATGTTTGTTTTATTGAATACAGAATAATGGACCTCGTAATCAACTTAGTCCAATAAGTATTGGCAGAACAGACAGTGTGTCAAGTCTTGATTTTCGATCTTCCGGAGTTTTAGGACCATCTAGAGGACCATCACCATTAACAATTGGATTATCTGATTCCATTCCACTGGCTGTTGCTTTTCATGAAATAATTCATGCATATTTCAAAGAATCAAATGAGTCAAGGTATTATTTTAAAATTTTCTTAGATATCTATTATTACAACAAAAATCCTCTATGATGTTTGTTGTTAATAAAATTAAAATAATTTTAGTGATAAAATAATGTGATATTCATATAGTATTGCACTTAAAACAATAATGTTAATTATTTACCAAGTAAGAACATTTTTTTAGAAATATAGAGTTGTGAAATACCTAACATAATAATAAATATTTCAATTTAGTATAATATTCTAGCCTAACAAAATTTTATAAGATTAAGTATTCAATATTTTTGGTTTACTTAATACAATATAATATAAAATCACAGCTTTAATATCTTGGATAGATTATAAAATTAGAGATTTTTACATAGAATATTGTGGAAGGATTTTATTGTTAATCATTAATTTTGATTTTCTATTATTTTTTTTCTTCATTTTTCCAAGTTTATGCTACATTTAATATACCTTGTTTATTATAAACCACTTATATTGATCTATAAAGTTATTTAGTTATTGTGTGTGATATAGTATAACTACAGAACTGACTAACTCTCGAGTATCTTATTACACTACCATTATTGTGGCCAACAACGTATGAACTCGCACCCCTCATTGCATGGCCATTGAAATAGTAGTCTGAGCATATTGTGGAGATACTGAATAGTTAACATCTACTGTCAGATTGTTCATTTTTATATTTTTTTTTCTCATTAAAGTAACCACATTTACTTCAAAAATCATCACTCTACTTATATATCTTCATTTTTAAAACATTTTTACAAAAATATGATTTGTACAATATTTCTAATACTTTGTTGCATATTTAAAATAAATTAATCGAATAGTTAGTTAATTAATGAATTAAGTATAAAATAATATTATTAATAGTTTGAATAAGCAAACTATGCTACCAGATGTATTACATTATTATCACACTGCTAACTTTATTTTAATATAGCTTGTGTCAAAATTGTGTTGCTGTATAAATCAGCATCTTATTAAAATATTAAAAAATAAGATTATTAAAGTTGTGTCAGTCAAATTATTGTTTAAATGTTATTTTAGGTGTCAAGTAAAAATGTTTGGAGATATGATGGTTTCGTTTCCTGCAGGTATTGCAAATATTTTAGCAAATAATCCCAATCCAGCAAAATTATCATTTCGTTTGAAGAACACTGTTCGGGTAGAAAATATTCTTCCAAACAAACAATTAATCATAAGGTAAAAAAATAATATGACAATAAATATCAAAAAAAATTTTTTTTTAATATTCTTTTATTATTTCAGTGATAGTTTTATGTCTTCTGATTCAAACGTTTTTGAGTTTAATATGCCTGCTCTTACTTCATTATTACGTAAACAATTTGAGCAAAATCCTGCTGCATCTTACTTTAATGTTGATATCTTAAAATATCAAGTTAGTAACATTTGTATCATTATAATTAATTAAACATTTTATAATTTTATACTTTATTTTGTAGGTAAAATTACACAATACTGCAGCTGCTTCATGTCCGTTTCAATTAGTTTCATTTTACAAATGCAGTAATACTTATACAGATCTTAAAATTGGTTATAAGTTTAATAGTCACGCTATGAGTGTTCCTTCCCCTTTACTGAATGTTACTGTTTCTGCTAATTTGAATTCAGCAATACGTAATATGCAGTCCAAGCCAACTGCACAATGGTAATTTTGATTCACCCCAATTTTGTGAATTAATATTTTTTTAATTATTTTGAACACTTATTTATAGGGCACCAGATACAAAAACAGTAAGTTGGAGGTTTGCAGAACTTGCTCAATATTCTGAAAGTCAAGGTTCTGGTTCTTTAAAAGCAAGATTTGAGGTTGATAGTTTATGTCCTATATCAACAATAGTAACTCAATTTAACTGTGAGGGTACTACATTATCTGGAGTAGAATTTGAGCTAGCAAGCAGTGGTTATAGAGTATCATTGATCAAAAGACGTTTTGTTGCTGGTAATTATTTAGTATTAATGACTTTATTTAACCAATAAGAATTATGTTAATTAAACTTTTAGTGTTATTAATTAGTATTAATTTAAGTCTTAGTTTGTATAAATATTGATTAAAAATATTTGTTAATTTACCATTTTTATTTTTTAACTAACACCCATGGGTCTTAAATAAGTTAAATACAGGTTACATATATATAAATATAAAATAACATTTTGTTTCTATTAGTTGAAAGATTTCATTGATTTTGTTCATATAAAATAACCATATCCTGATATCCTGTTAAATAAAAATATATTTGACCAATTTATAATCATTAACTTTTTCAGGTAAATATATATGTGATGGTGAACCAGATCCCAAAAGCTCTACTCAACATTCCACTGTGTCATCAGATTGTTAATTATCAGTTACTTTATTATTTGTTTTTATTTATATTTTTTTATATTATTTAAACTCGAGTATTATAATCTCAACATTTTTTTTTTTTGTTGACAATGTTTTCCTTCATTATACACATATTTTATTTTCATAAAATAATTAACGCTATAAAAATGAACTTTGGCTTTAAAACATTTTTTCATTTTTCGTTAACACGGAATTATAATTACTGTTATTATGTTAGTAATTATTTTACTATAAAATAAAACCGTCTGCTAGTAATTTTACAGTATTATATACCAGTTTCAAATTAAATATTTATTTATTTTGTTTTTTTTACGAATGTAATAAGAATGATTTTTTAATATTTTTATTTGTGTATTATATAAAATTATATTTTAATTCCATTTCAACATAAATTTTCAACTGACATAGAAGACCATTTAATTACTCATCTTTAATCAACAAAAACATATCCTTAAAGTAATAATAAATAAGACCACTAGTTGAATTAAAAATAAAGTAAGTTATTGCAGGTTTCTGCATAAAAACCTTGCCTATTAATGTGTTTTTAAAAATAAATGAATACTGAAATAATACTTTGCTGTATGTTTTAACTAATATATTTATATTTTATATTATTCCATTTAAAATTAACAATAATCAAATTTGTCTTCTAGTTAACTATTTTGTATGTAAACCAAAACAAAATACAATAGATCTGATTTTAAAATCTCTTTTTATAATTAATATTATTATTATTAATGTTGTTGTGATAAAGTTATCAATAATAAGGCTCTATTTATGCTTCCTTGTTAGTTAGTTTTTGGTAATTATGTTGCATGTTATTGTATAATGGACTTATGATTATAATGTGGATTTACAGATAACACCTTCTTAGACAACTGTAATAGATTAGCTGTATTTTTAATTTGTTATTTTGGACCAATGTATTATGTATATTTACTTAAAAGATTTACATTAATAATTTATTTGTGTTAAAATCAAAATTTTAATTTAAAATTAATTTGTTGATACTTTTATTTTTGAATACAATAGTGTTAAATGAGATTGTCTGTAATCCAAAATGATATTTGTTTGTGGCTCAAAAAAAAAAAAAGTTGTAATATTAATATATTATTATTGTATGTGAAGATTACTATTTTTTTAGATTTAATATATTGTATATACATATTTTATTTATAACACACATTATACAAATATATCAAATAAATATACTTATCCATATAAATATATTTTTCTTTTATTATATTATTACATAACATTTAAGTTTATTGAGTATGATATAATTTAAAATGGAACAATACATACATATTTGGTAGTTAGAATTTGTAAAAACTATAACCTACTTTTATACTTGCCGTTTACCTGTCCTTAAGCAAAGTTTATAAATATTAATATTGATAAATTGGTTTAATTTATTTATTTTGTACATGTATGCTTTATTAAATCTATTATTATTGAAACATTTATTTGAATAGTAATTTATTTTGATAGTATTTTTATTTATTTTATTTAACGATGAAATTAATATTAAAAGATTAAGTTACGACCATAAAAACATACCGGTTCAAGTATTTAGTTCAATTAGATTTTTAATCACAATATTATTTAATGATAATAATCATAATTTATAATTGCCTGTTTTAATTTAAATAATAATTTTTTCAATATTTTCTTTTATAACTTATTAAAATATTTTTATTAAAGTATGTTTTTTTAACTTTCTTTTCAACTAGCGAATTGTGTATACCTCATGATGAAAATCAGGAAGTATAAATGTGTGTGGTGACATGGTGAAAACTGTATGGTCATAAACATTTTTCATAGGGACGAAATGTTGAAATTTGACATTGGTTATCCACTTTTACACATAATCGTTACCATATTAGTGTTATTGTATTTTAATTAAAAACGGTAGAAACTTGAAAAATTCCGCTATTACTATAATTAATCATTATTATTTTCTATTCACAATTAATTATGCTAGAGTATCAAATTAATTTTCAGCTATTTATAGACAATTAATTATATTCTCATCCAAAATGAATTGAAGTTCAAATTTTTTGTCAAAATTTCATATAAACAAAATATACAAATTACTTATTTCGATGTAGTTCAAAAAAATATTATTCGTAAGGAATTGAAACTTTTTGTCATTAGATAAATCTATTTAGTATTATACTTAAATGTAAACAATGACATTTTGTAATAATTTTAATTAATTTTTATTACGCGTTTATTCATAGTGCCTCAAGGTTTGATTCAATAACAGCTAGTAATATTATGTGAAATTTAATATTAATGACTTATTATTTTATGTTTTGTATGTTAAAAATTCAATTATGGTTAGAGATAGATAAATTACAATCTAAATAATGAGACTACCTAGCTCTTTTAGATAATTATTGTCTTATTAAATTTAAGGCAAGCTGAATTTTACTAAAAAACTTTTATGCGAGTATTTAAATGTTTTTCAATTTAATGATGAAAATTTGTGTAGACCAATTCTTGATTTCTCTCTGATCAACAATTAATGATCTGTTAATAAGTCAGACAGTCCTCTTGTCACTTGTGATAACTATCATCTGGACTTACTTGTTTATAATTTTTCTAATTGCAATTAGATACTCCATAATAACATTCGCATTGACAACGATCAACTGGTGTAAATTTATCTAAAGGATGAAGTATTGATGAAGCTGTCAATATTTTTTGTCCTATTATTCACAACACCATTGATATATTTTTATAAAAATTCATTAAGAATGGATTTAATTATCCAAAAAGAAATTAAAAGTTTTAATCTTCAAGAAGAAAATCGAACGTAGATTGTTTAAGAGTTTTAAAATACAAAAATAATAATTAAATCAATTCATAATTGAAAAAGTGATTAAAAAGCACATTTATTCAAAAAAAAGGTAGGACTAAATAGCTTATAAGTTTCACACTGGAGATTGCAAGTAATCGCTGTATTTTAAAAATTATATTTTCTTCATTTAACTTAAAATTTGGCAATTAGTGAGTTATCTTTATCCGTTATCAGACATTTTATCACATTGCTGTTATAATTTATCATGGATTAATAATTCTATAGATAATATATTATCTATGAATAATTCAAACACGAATGATATGGACTTGATTAATTTTTCCCTGGTGAATACATTCCATCATACACATTATTATAAATTGTATAGATCGAATATGAATGTACTCTATAGTATTACCATCGAGTATTTATGTATATATATATATATTGTATATTATACTCAATAAAGGTAATTTAAAACTTCTCGATATTTAAAACGAATGTGTTACTTATACCGTCAAACGTTCAATAGCTTCCAGCCCGGTACATTACAGCACACTTGTACATCTGAGTACCTGTTCAATCTAATATTTGTTGATAAAATGGTTAGACAAATGTTGATGGTTGTTGATCAATTTTAATTAACTTTGTAAAAAAAAAAAAAAACAATTAAAATATTATTAAATACTTGTATTTTATTTGTTATTATTTTTAATTAAGTAGTACAAAATACGAGTAGTTTTACTGTAAAAATATTTGTAATGAGATCCATAATACATATAAAAATCGTAAAACACAATTTGTAACAATTGAAATAAAAATAGTTACAGTAAACTCTTGATAAGGGTGGTACAGTAATCATGAGCAAATTTTTACATTGGAAGCGAAACTTGACAAAAAAGTATGTCGTCTTCAGATACCAAACCCCTGGGTGGAAGATAAATAATTCATTATAGTTTTGAGGAAGACTACAGATAGTTAGCTCAGGAATAATCAAGAGTTCAATGCATTGTGTTATAATTTAGTAGTAGCTAATTAAATTGTTAATTAACCAACAATAAAAATAATATTCTGGCATATGCTATTAATAGTCATATAAAGTTCAATAACAATACAAGTAAAAAATTGAAAGCATTTTAACAGTAATACGTATCAATTCACCTTCTTAATAATTGAGTTAGCTTATGGAAATTACAATCACAATAAATACAAATCATTTAAAAAAAAAAAAACTCATGTCGAAGGTTTAAAGTAAATAGAAGTATTACATTATTTTGTTAATATATTCAAATAAAATAATCTTAAAATTATTAAAAAAACAAAAATTAAAGACAGGAACCATTTTGATATTTCAATAATATCTAAGTAGGATTAAGTCGGAATAATAATCAGAATCGACAGCTTAACGATCCATGATCACAATCCTGCACTGCCACTAATAAGCTTCTCCATTTTTCTTATCCAAACTCCTTTCTATTGTTGCATCTAATATTCTTATTTACAGTATTTTTCCATTTAGATCTTCAAGTGATCTTTTCTTGTTTATTTTCCTATGGGACATTTGTTAATACGTCCTTATTTTGTACTCTATACACATCCCAGCCATTCTAGTCACGTATTTCTTATAAATATGAGTATATTGGATTTTGCTTGAAGAGAATACAGCTCTTCATTATGTCTTTTTTCGTGTATTTCTAGGTTGTTATATAACATTAGTCCGCAAATGTTTCTAAGACTTTCCTTTTTCATATCGCAAGTTTTTTTAATTACTTTATTTTTTAATGGACCAAAAGTCACAGGCAAAGGTTACTATTGGTCTTGGAATAATAGTAGGAAAAAAAACAATATATACATTCTATATAATACTATAGGCAGATAAAAAACTTCTTAAATTTTTTTTAAGTTATAAACTAACAAACTTCAATAGACGGTTCATGAAAGCTGGCATGAGAACTTGACTGTTGAGCAATTGGAGGTGAATTCTGAGTCTCATTTGGTAGTGGAGTTGGTTTAGAACATGGTCTTTCAGAACTTTTATCACATTTCGTCGTTTGGTCTTCAACAGTTTCATTTGGTTTTGCAGTTGGTAATTGGATGGCAGTTTTTGAATTTTTGTACGTAACAGAATTTTCGCCAAGAACAACAGAAGCGTGTGTAAGTAACGGCAAATTTATTTCAGGGGATAAATTGCCAACATTATTATTCAATTTCTGACCCGTACTCAAACCTACTAAATAAAAAAATAATAATTTTAGTAATTTAATTAGTTTTCAAAAGTTTAGTTATAAGATTTACATTCATTGAATAATTGTTCTTGACTTCTTTTAGTAGATTCACCTGTACCACTGTCTTTGCTGTTCGAAGAATCCAACGATTTATTATCGGCATTATTGATCAAATTTGATGAAGGGCGTTTTGCTTTATAAACAAATAATACCCAAATTGCTATTATAATTATAATGCACATAATTATTACAATGATGACCAATCCAAGAGTATATTCGTGAATTAAACTTCGATACACTAAAAAATTAAAAATTTAATTGAAACAATATAATCTTTAATAGCATTTAATATGGTTTATAAAATATAATACTTTTATTTATTATGCAAATAATACCTATAATATACATTTTTATTTCATACAATTATTAATGTAATGTCATAAAACATTTTAATTTTAAAATATAAATTTATTGTATCATTTTGAAATAAAGTTGAGTAATGTACCCAATCTATCTTGAATCTTATCTATAGAATTATAACATTTTTTTATTATAATATTATGCGAGGAAATATATATATATAAGGATAGTTATAGATTCAATAAATAAAAAATGATTTAAGTTAATAGTATTCACGTAATACATAAATAATTTATTGGAAATACAAAAAGTAGTTAAATAATTCTTTATAAAATAAAACAATTAGTTTTATTATAGCAATTATTTTTAATTGTTTGTTTTAATATTATGAAATATAATTGTATGTTTGAAAGAAATGTAATTAATTTTATAATTTATTAAAGATAAAATGTTGATATGATAGAGTATATTATTGATAAAATATATACTTAAATGCTGATAATATTTAGTCAAAATACCATAACTTATTGGTCAAGTTTACTATTTTATATAATAGAAATACAAATGTTATTTTAATTAACACGTGTCGTCTTCATTTTACAAAATTTATAAAAATAAATGTGCCAAATAACAAATTTTCACTCAACCGAATTCATTTTATGTAGTTACTTAAATATTTGTCAATTTTTATATTATAAATCTAAAAAGTAAGAATATTGTCTATGGTATCTCTTGAGATTTTATTAATATTAAAATTTAAAAGTGAATTATAAATAGTTTATAATCGTAATATTTTATATAACCATAATTCACTTTAAAATAAAAAGATCAATCAAAAGTTCTAAGTTGTCTAAGACAATATTCCTATCTTTAAGTTAGGTTATAGGTAAATAGATTATAATATTAAAGTTAACAGTAATGGATTCTGTTGAACGTTAATGTTATGTTGTACATGAGTAATAATGAAACAACATAATATGGAATGAAAGTTCTCCATAACAATTATTATTAGTTATTTTGTTTTTAATTTGACATTACTTTTAGTTTTTATTAGATGTATTTAATCTTTATTTTTATTATACAAACAACACATTATTTAAGAAAATACTTAATATATATATGAAATAATACTTACATGGCATAACTAGAACATCAACTTTTTGACTATTTACTCCTAAAGAATTAGTTATTTCACATTGATAAGTGCCTGAATCATCTGTATTTGCTTCCATTATAACTAAAAGTTGATTTTCAGCAGTAAAAAAGTGTCTATTACTCAAGGTAAGAATAATGCCATCTTTAGTCCATTTTATTTTTGGTTTTGGGGATCCATAACTTAAACACTCTAAAACGACTTCTTCGCCAACCCTAACTTGTTTGTTGGACATTTCAGTTTTAAACCAAGGGGGTTCTGTGAAAAAAATACATTGAATAAAAATAAATAACATTGTAAAAAAAGAAATTTAAATATGAAAAATAGTTACAATAGTATTTTTATACCTAAAACATTTAGTGTTGCATTTGCAGCTATCATTCCAGCAACATTTTTGGCAGTACAGCTATATATGCCCATGTCAACTAATTTTACATCGACAATTAAAAATACATCATCTCTAGCCATTACTTTCATACGACGTTCTTGTGCTGCTGGAAAATCAGTTCCTCCATCTTTTTGCCAAGATATTTGAGGAGCTGGATATCCATTTGCAGCACATTCTAACTTAGCAGTAAGACCAGTCTTTACAGAGCTATTTCCAGGGACTTTAGCAAAAAATGGATAAACTAAAAATAAAAAAATAAAATAAATATTTAACCATTATTATGTTAAATCTATTTAATACTTACCAACAACTGATAAGACTGAACGATTAGAATAAGTGATACCAAACTCATTGGAAGCAACACATTGATATTTACCACTTTGTGACATCGATATATTATACAAGTTTAAAACAGAAAATTGTGTCATACCATTGAACTCAAAGGATGAATAATGGTTTGTAGAAATAGATTCTAAATCATGATTATCTTTTTTCCAAACAAAATTAATTTTTTCAGTTGATGAAGAATTTACCCCACATTTTAAGGTAATGTTTTGCCGTTCAAGAACCATTTTTGATTCAGGATGGAATACTATCATAGGTTTTGGACTATTCTCAACTAAAATAATTAAAAATTAGTAGAATAATTAAAGATTAAAATCATTAATACTTACGACATGAGAAGTCTGTAAAGGATATTTCTTTCAAATTTTTTCCTTTATTTTTTTCTGGGAAGCCACAAAACGCATTTATGTAATCAAATGGTAAATCTTCAAATATATTTGGCTGTTTAAGCCACGACATTGAGCAGTCACATACTAGTGAAGAACTATTTAAATATAGATATTCAAGATTAGGCATATATTTGAATGCTTCATCTTGGATTTCTAGGACATTATTTTGAAGTAAATTTAATTCATCTAGATTGTCTAAGCCAGAAAATGCTTCTTTTTTAATGAATAATATTTTATTATTAGCTAAACTTAATTTTTTCAAATTTCTCAGACCAATAAAAGTTTCTTTTGCATCTTCAATAAGCCATGACAAATAATTGTGATCCATTTGACTAAAAAATAAAAATATAATTTTATAAATAATAAAGTAAATATATTTCATGAATTTATAAATATAATACATACAATTATTACATTAGTAATAAATTAAATAGACAAATAAAAAATAATTGTACCTTTAAAAACAAAATAAAATAAAAATATAACATTACAATTTTATTTACTGATGGAAACATTTGAAAAATTAATGGTTTAATGTTGTTATTAAATTGATTTTCCACAAATTAATATCCTAAATTTATCTACGACTTTTTATGGTATATATTGAAAATATTATTTCATACATATATTATAGATTATAACATAATATTGATTTTTAAATTAATTATAAAAATATAGTTAAATACTTACAGTATTTGTAGCATAGGTGTATTGTTAAATGATCCTTCTTCAATGAATGATAATCTATTGTTATTTAAATGTAGTTTTTGTAACTTTCTTAAATTTTCTAAATTACTTTTTTCAATGTACTGTAGTTTATTATAGGATAAATCCCTAAATGAATAAAATTGTACATGTGCGTTAATTAAAATATAAATTATGCATGGTTTTTACAAATGTATTATACATTCAAAAATAATTATTGTTACAAAATTATAATGTTAAATTTATGACTTACAATTCTTCAAGTTCTGCACAATATTCCCATCCACTTTTGATTTGATCTAATCTGTTATAACTTATATTTAAGTAAACAAGTGAATTCAATCCGTATAACCACCCTTTGGATATTTTGCTTAAATTATTATCTTCTAAATGTCTGAATTTATATATATAAAAAAAAAAGTAGTTACAAAAACAATTCAATTAAGCTGTTTTGATTAAAAAATATATTTTAAATTTAATTTGATAATGTTTTATATATTATATCATATGAAATAAACATACAATGATTGTAAATTTATCAATCCAAAAAATGATCCATCTTGTAAATCTTCAATTTGATTTTGTCGAAGTATCATTGATTTCAAATTCACCAAATCCATAAATAATAAACCATGAATGACAGTTATGTGATTTCTACTTAAATCGCTAAAAATAACAAATGTTTATTAAAATTAAATGTTATAGTTAAAAAAAATACACATGGTGCATCATAAATACAAAATCAGAAAGTGCTTACAGTAATTCAAGGTTTTTTAGTTTTTTGAATAATCCAATAGGTAAATTGTTCAACTTATTATGAGATATTTTCAATTCTACTAAATTTGTCAATGCATCAAAACAATTTGCACTTAAGTTGGTGATAAAATTATTGTTAAGGTTTCTAAAAAGTACATATAAATATATAATAAGTAATGAATATACAATAGATTTCTTAAAATCTATATTTTATTATTATTAACAATTATGTTAAATGTTATACTAACAGAATTTTGAAGTGTTTAGATTGTGAAAAAGTATTATCATCTAAAAATATCAGTTTATTTTTGTTCATGTCCAAAGTTTTCAAGTTAGGTAAATTTTCTAGAGCCTCCAATTTTTCTATTTTGTTATGTGCTCTGAAAAGTTTAAAAAATAATTTAATATAAATACTATAACTTTTATCAATTAAAAAAAAATTAAGCTTACAAGTTTAAATGACTGATATTTGATTTGTTCACAAATACTGGAAAATATGAAATTGAGTTCTTGGTAAGTTTCCTAGAAACACAAAAAATTTCAATTATTAAATTTTAAACAATTTATTTGAATATAATTAATTTTAAAATTTAAGTTCATATAATAGTAGAATAGGTATTACTAATTACATAGGTACAAATATGAGTTATATAAAAACTGAAAAAAAAACATATTTTTGAATACATTTATAATGTTAAGGACTGTTACAAATTCTTAAATTATACTAAATATAAAAGTTATGCTTAGAAAAAATGTTAAGCCCTATATTTTTTATTGAAATTTAAGCTAATCAGTTTGCTCATATTTCAAACTAATTTTTTTTTAACCATTACATGTAAAAAAATTAATTGATTTATACATAATCAGTGAAATCAAATGATATGATAATTTAAAAAATGTGATACATATCTCAAAAATGGGGCAAAACTGAAAAAGCACTAAATTATGGACATTTGGTCACCATATGGGTAAGTTAATTATTTATTTAAATGCACATAATGTTCATTTTAATAATTATTTACAAAATATATTGCACAAGAATTTTATCTCTGTATCATAATTAATAATTAACAGTATTAATATAAAATGTAATTATTAGAGTAATAATTTAAGTTATTACACAATTTAAATAGGTTTAATGTTGATTACTTACAATGTTGTTAGATGTAAGTAACTATTGGTATCAATTGTCAGATTCCCATCAATTTTATTTAAGCTCAAATCTCTGAAAATAAAAACATAAAAATTAACGATTAAAATAGTGTATGTATTAAGGATTTGGATTAAAATATTTTGAAACTATTTATCTTTCCGGTACTTTCATTTACAGTTAAAATGTTTGAGTTATATAGCGATACCCATTTTTGTTACCATATTTAGGTAGGATTTTTTTTTTTTAAACTCATTTAGTTTAATAAATATAGCTCTAAAATTAAAATTAACTTAATGTGAGCATTTAAAATTTAATTATAAATAAATTATTTTTATTTTTATTTAAATCTATTTTAAATTTAGGATTAGTATGTATTTTACTAATCTGGGTAAAAATAAAGCTAATATAAATATAATTTATCTAGATAATGACAACAATACGTTCATCATAATAAAAATATAGATAACTACTATTTTTTACACTTATTTGTATTCTATAGATGCATACAGTATGGATTATGTTGATTACCTTTTATTTTAATTATACTATACATTTTTGAATATTATTTTTAGAATAAATAAAAAACATAGTTAATTGACTCTTAATAATAAATACTTACACGCCTTTTCAGTTTCATAAATGCATACAACAATTCATACAATTTAATATAAATTAATCGAAAAAAAATTATTTATCTCATAAACAAGAAAAAATGCTCGGAAAAATGAGTTCAGAATATATCTTGTCAAATGCCTAAGTATGCACTTATAGCTCAACTTATAGCTACTCGTAATCTACCAATTATCAAAAATAAGTTATAAAATTCACCTTAAATACTCAAAATACATAAATACTAATTACATAGATATGCGATGTACTGAACTCAGAACTAAATACTGTCTACTGAGAAGTGAGTGCACAACATGATTATTGAGTATTGGTAATTTACATTTCATGTGTATATGTATCGTGTGCGTAAAAATACAATCTTTAAAAATCTAAAATATGTGATCTCTATGAATTAAATATTTATCTATTTTTAAAAGATAAGATAATAAATTAATACTTAATATTTCATTAAAGCTCGTGGAGTGCATAACATGTATGCATTATCGTGATATCATTTTAGATAATAATAACGAGAAAAAAATTATGAATTTCTTCTTATTTGATATTAGTAATATTGGTTTTATTTGAAACTTGGATTAGGAGGTGCTTATGTCTTATAGTTCATATTTGTAACATAATACGAAGATTAAAATAAATAAATAATTTATTAGTATATTTTTATAAATCTACCACAATATTGAAATTATCTACCTACATAAATCTATTTAGATAAGTCCATATTTATCTAAGTTAAACATTAGATAAATCGTAACATAGTTATTGAAATACATTAAAATACGACTAATTTATATATATAATTCCCAGCACTAAAAACGACGGATAGGTAACGTAAAAATGGCCAAATAACTAGATGGAAATTTGGTTTACTTACAAAGTTTCCATCCACTGAGGTAATGCTTCTGGAAATGCGTTAACCATTGTTTTGCTACAGTCGACGTAGGTGCCGAGGCATTCACATTTCTTGTAACAGACTTTCTTGGCGTTGCAAATCGCAGCTTCGTACAACAGAGTTGTTACGAACAACAGATATGCAACCAACATGATCGTATCAAACAGTTATACTACCAACGAGAAACGATAATAGTCTTCGACGAACGGATGCTGCAAAAATAGTAAGTATTAAGCGTCTCTCATCGGGCCATTATCCGCGTTCAACAGGGCATAATGATGAATGATCCTTACACTTCATGTCGGTCGGCTACCTATTCGAGGATCCATGTTTTTCCGTCACATCGCGAGCGCACAAAAACACGGACTAATACGAAACGAACTGCCGAGATAATATTCGATGCGCGTGGAAGACGTCTAACCGAGTACGCCTACATCATTCGAATTTCAAATTGTCATTCGCGTCGGCAGGATGGAAAAAAAAAATCAAACACAAAGCGCAAGGCACCAGTCACCTAGAACGACAACAACCTACTAAGAGCAGTGCGAACATTAACTGCAGTATAAACGACTAATGAGAGAATGAAGAACCGTTATCACTAATTCTTAAACGACGATGATAGTGTTTGTATTTGTTTTTTTTTTTTTTTTGTTTAAATTTAAATAATGTTGCCCGTAGGTTTTTTGTCAAGGACCTTCGATACACAGTTACCATTTGTGGGCGGGCCCGTTCGTACGAAACTCTACACCGGCGGCGTCGTCCGACGACCGACGCGAATCCGACGTCGAGCCGGATCGTTAAAAATGTATAATAATAATAATAATAATAATAATATAGAAATATATTATTATATTATTACTATTATTATTTATAATATAGAGGTATACAATATGTTGTATTTTTTTGGCATCCGATGGTTGGATTTGCCAATTTGTGGTTCAGCAGTAAACGCTTTTTTGAAAGAAATTTATATTACTGTCGTATCTCCTCACACGATTTGAAGACTCATTAATCACCGTGATTAATGTACCTACCACATTTGATATTATCGCATTACGCGTATAGCGATTTCAGCATCAAATGCATATTATAATAATTTCGTATTTTTGATACTCGGCTACCGTATTACCATAGACAGTGGTAATACCTACCTACCTATTGCACCATCAGCGATTATAAAGCTGTATAAAATATACGAATATTATAATATACCTAATATAAACCTTGCACTGCGTGCAATAGCGTAGGTTTTTACGACGATTTTCGTTTGTCCGATGATAATTCGAATAATGTCTTCTCGAAATCACAAACAGCTTGTAGCAGTATAAAATTATACATAGGTACCTACGTACTTTGTTGGTAGGAGTGGTGGCGGCTATGTAAATATAATGGTGTTGCTGAATGAATCACTGTATGTGAACCCACCCACCCACGTACCAACAATAAAAGATGTTGCACCTGGTGTCCTGCGACCTGTTATGATCGTCACCTGCACACAATAGCATATATACCTATATATATATATATGATAAACGTGTGTAAGAGAGAGTTGGGCACGCAGTCTGCAGTCGTAGAACACAATGCATACCTTGTATTATACGAAGATTTGGTTAGTGCGACTACCAGACGTTCTGATTTTACATATTATGCAGCGCAGTACCGATTTTTTTTTGTTGGTACGAGTTAAATAATTTTCGTCTCTACATAGCTGGGACAGTAAAATGTACTGGCTTTAATCATTGAACGTTTAGCTTTCGTCCCGATTTTATGGTTTCGATGTAATCGATCGCAAACGTATTTATAATAAAAACAAATGCTTTATTAGTATACTGTATTTTACTTTGTTTTAATTTTGTCCTTTTAAGGCGTTATACAACTTATGTATACCACGTATACCTGCCCCGATTTTACAGCAATTGTACGTATCTGATCACTTGGCGTAGGTATTGCTTTAAATTTACTTTAACAATATGATAGTAGTTAGAGGTATAGGGAATAAACGGCGATGTATAATTTGTATATAGTATAATAATGTGTATATACCTACTCAACACGATGATCACACGTAACTATATTATACCTACCTAAAATACGGGTAATCGCTAGTATTTACGATAGGAGTGTTTTTTTTACGCCAGTACTTTGCGTTACCTTATGGTTTTATGTTAAAAAAAAAAAAAAAAAATGTAACGAATTATTATTCAGTTAACGTTATAAACTCTTGCATTTTTTTTTTATGGATAAACATGGATTTAACTATGTAAAAACGTGTTTAACAGTTAATCTATATCTATATAGATATAAGACATTGTAAAAATTAACACGTTGAAATTATTTGAAACCACAAGACTAAATAAGTATTAAACATAATAAAATAAAGAAATGTAGGGAGGTAGGTATAGGTACACATTATATTATGAATGATAAAGTTATTCATTCAATTTTTACGAGGCAATAGGCAACCAGTCCATACCATGGAGTACATGCAGTAGTGCGAATTATAAGAATATAATATGATAGGGGTACATCACAAAGATTTCTCATCTCCGCGTAGGAGGGGGAGAGAAGAAAGGAATCCGCAAGAGCGTTTTCGGATTTATATTTTTTTGTCACCGAGTCTGGAGCACCTGTCGAGTGGTGATCGAGTACCTGTATAAAATCGTAAACTCGAGCGGTATGTATAAAATATATTTACATGGGCACACTGCACGGTACATTATATTACTAAGAAATATTAATATTATGTTACAATTGAATATTATTTTGAACTTAGTATTTTTTCAAATTATTTTATAATAACTAAATAAAATTATGGCGTTTATTATTTTATTCTCACAAATTTTCAACAATGCCCGTTGATTGTTTAATAATCGGGTATGCAACACTATACATAAAATAATGGGTAAATAATAATTCGAAACACTATAATATCAATATCTTAATGCCGAGTTGTACAATTACAGTCATTATTTATTTTTTTCAATCATTTTATTAAAGAATGAGCATTCTTTAACATATTCAAACACGCTTAACTATTCTTAGATTCGTATTAACCATAACAAAACAAGATGATTAACAAAGAAACCAAAGGATATCATACAATAACACCATATCGATTTCCTTTTATAATCAACTCTATCACAGTACTTATCGCTTGCCATATAGATGGGTACCAATGTGAGATCCAATAAGTATAGCGTTACAGATAGATCCTTATAAATAAGAAAAGTTGTAGATGAGTTTCATAATCCAAACAAACTATAAAAGGATGCAGATCGTAGCACAAAATATATGCAACATCGTCGTCTGTAAAAGTCGTTTCCAGTTATAAAATATTGTTAATTGTTATATAAAAACAATACCTACGTTTAATTTAAACTAATAACTCTGGCACAGTATTATTATTTAATCTAAACTTTAATATGCGTGTTTTTATTAAACATTATTATTTATTATATATTTTAATTTAAGACAGACGCAGATGGTTTTTTATTTTTCAAAGTATATTTACTCGCAAGTCGATTGTGAAGATAGACACTTTTTTTAAATGATTCTATGGTCTATTAGTCTAAATTACCAGGTTTATTTATCATATATTTATATTGCTATCTTTTTAAATAATTTTACTTTTAATAATATGATGTAAATATAGATAATAGCTTAAAATAAATCAATTAACATATTATGAAAATGTCATTGTTGAAAATGTCATTGGGTATAGTAAAATGTAATAACATATCTACGAAAAATTTCAAGTTTTCATAGACATTTTCAAATATAATAAAATTAATATACTAAAATTGTTATATTTTGCATATAAATATTTGATTTCATTAAAACTATTAAACTTCAGACGTTTATAATGAAATTTGTGCTAATATATTTAAATTGCTAAAAGGTTATAATATAAAAATATTTATATGAAACTTTCTATTATATAATTTCTATTTTAAAGTTTTTTAATCTAGTTTAAACAATGTTATTAGAACTTAAAATAGAAAATTTTAAACAATTTTATAATTACAGATGGTCTTTAAATAAATTAAAATTATTTTAATTATTTTGAAAATTTTGTTTGATATAGAAAATGATAATTCAAGTAACAGTTTATTTTTTTTATTTATAAAAGACAATTTTGTTTAAAATTATGTACGTTTTGATAAAAACCGGAAAATACATTTAAATTATTATTATACTTTAGATTATTAACTTGGTCGATGGTTAGTTGGTATTTGCGCGATAATCTTGTTTTTTTAGATCAATTTAGAAGAACCGGATATAGAACAAGTTATTATTTTTCTGTATCTTTATTAATTATAGGTATTAATTTTGGTATATACCTACTACAGTCATGCTATTAAGTTTTGTATTTTGATTTTTGATATAAAGTTTTTTTTGTTGATGATGTGCATTAAGGTTTATGACGTGTGACGTAATACGCATATTATTACATAATGATGGAATATAATTTAGAATATTATTATATTCTATTATTCTTAATATTGAGTGTATCGATTGATTTGAACGTTGAAGGAGTAGATGTAGGCAATTCTTTAAGCATACGTGTTTATATGTGCGTGTTATGTACCTAGTAAATTTCTAAAATAATAAATATAAAAACCTATATACGACACGTGAAGGTGACGTAAAAAATCAAGAAATTAGAAACACAATTAATTATACTAAGACCATTGTAAAGAACGTAGTCGTATACCAGTGTTCTAATTTAATAAGATAATTAAACGAAAACTACACGTCTCAATTAAGAAAAGTCGACCTCGAGTGTTCACCATAACGAAATGGATTGATTAGAATATCAAATGTTACAATGATATCACAAAAATTCTGCCTAGATTAGTTACCATAACTACAACTACCTCTTCTATTGGAAGAGACCATCTGTTAGAAGACCGACACAAAAGTTAGACTGATGGTTAGGGATATCGAAGCAGGTATCTGGAACCAGATCGCAACACCATTTAAAGTTTTAGATAGCTATTACTCTTGAAGTCAGTTCGTAATACCACTCATACCTGAAAAAATTGACTTATAAATTGTAATGAGTAATTTGTTTTTAAAAAGGTATTAAGTTGAATAAACATTTATATTATTGATAAAACAAAAAAGTTCATATTGGCGGATGATAAATTTTCTGAGAGATTTATCTTTCATCATAAAATGTGTAACCTAACCTAATAAGATTTGTCAAAAATAGTTCATATTGCAACGAAAAATAAATTATAAACACATACATATATATAGTTTATTTTTAAACTAATTTCAGGTTTAAATTTGTACAATATTAGATGTTTAAACAAAAAATAACAATTTTAGTTATTTAATAAAATTGTAATTTAAAAATATTATTATTGCATACTTATAACTTTTATATTATTTTATTATACTTTACATCCACTGTATTTTGAGCACATTTGAAAGAAAGATCCAATATTTTTTCATTTTTTTGTTATTTAAACTTAGTAACTGCTTTTATACTTGAGTTTAATGGTTCAATTTTTATATTTTGTCAAGTTAAAGTAATATCTTAACTTCTAATGATTAAATTTTATCATTGATTAATAATTTGTTTGTAGCATAGGTAATCTATTTCAAATTTTTCTTTTATACATTGTTGAAGTTTTAACCTATATTTACCTATAATTAACTGGGATAATGTTGTATCATCCGAGATTATAATGGGTATTTCGTTTTGACAACAGGCTATTATCGAGCATCAATTAACACAGGAGTAGAATATAGATTTATATACTTCCAACTCTTTATTTTCAATTTTGTGTTTAATAAATGGCTTCAATAATCGTTAATTTATTTCGTATTTTCAAACAGTAAATTTAGTTATTTGAGTTCTAAATTCAACTTCAAATACAACTGCAATTTCAATATCAAATTCAATTTTTAACATACATTTAAACCTCAATAAATGTTGTTGGATTATGGTTTTCATTTGGTTACGGATTTAATTTTTTAATTAAAATGTGATGTGCTAGGTCGAAATTAACAGTTTAAAGTTAAATAAGTAAATAAAGGTGCTACTAAAATTCCTAAAAGTTTCTAACAATGGCTAAAAAGTTTATTCAAACATTATTAGAAGGATTTAATAATATTGTTATGTCTGCAGGCGTGAAATTGGCAGTACAAAGTTTAATATGGGATAGTTAAATAGGGAGCTCGAATAAATTCCAATTATATCCCCTACAAGTCTATTTGAACATAGTTGGATATATTTTAATAAGTTCAGTTAACAATGTAATTCAAACTCCACGCTCTTTAACAAAATTTTGAAACTAAAATTGACGAAGGTAGAAAATAGATTAAAATAAAATAATATACATTATAAATAGGTAATTTATTTTCCAATATTTAGTTGCAAGAAATTGAGTTGGATATAATTAAGTTGGATTTGGTTATTTTGTTGATTTAAACTAAGTAGCATACGTTATACAATATGTTTCAACTGTCCACACACACACACACACACACACACACACACACATGTATATATATAGATAATAACTAATAAGTTAAACGGTTGACAAAAATTTATATTGTTTAAGTTATAATTTATGATGTAAAATTATTTAATTTGCACTCCCGTAGGGTTCTGCCCATATTTGATCCACCACTAATGATGATAAACCTGATTGCTTAAAATTTTCATAGACGCCACCAGCCACTTGAAAGCCAAATCTAGTAATATTTTTCACATTTAAAGTAGGTCCATCTTTTATTATTTTTCCCCTATAATAGGGTTTGAATTGTGAGATTGGCATTTTTACTGTAGTATCCGAATCAGTGTTAACCTGTTAACATCATTGTAAATAATAAAATGAAAATAGTTGTAAATCCGTTTCAAAGTTACATTTGAATATAATTATACCTTAAATTGTTGTTCAAAAGTAGGATTTGGCTCGTCGTTCAAATTATTGTGCCTTAAAATAATTTTATATGTAGTGGCATTTCCTGCAGTTTTGCATAAAAATGATATATATTCATATCCATCAAGGTTTAGCTGTGTTATTGTACGGACGCCACTAAAACATGCACCGTTTGGTTGCGGATTTAGCAATGTGAATAAGATTGCAGATTGTTTAGTTTGAGTTTTATATAAATCAAATGTCGCTTTTGACATTCCAACTGATCTTACAGTGTCAGATTGTTCTGTCCAGTTACTTAAATCGGCGACATTTTGAAAATCAAATAACAACAAACTTGATCTAAATATTAAAAAAAAAAAAACAACAGTTAAGTTGTACTATTAAACTGTTATTAAATTATAGTAAAAAATGGTGATGTAAAATGCTGGTTGTTTATCAGATATAAATCTCATATTTGTTTTTTGAATACTTAAAATATTTCTTGATAAATTAAAAGATGTGATACACCATTTATTTTACTTTATTTTTAAAACAAATGTAACTTTTTTATTATGAATTATTGTATTATTATGAAAAACAAATATGAGGTGGTCTTAAAAAATATTATTTACTTTAAATTTAGTTATTAGTAATTTTATTCTAAGAAAATAATCAAATTTAATTAAAATGTGTAGGTAGTTTATTAGTTATATACTTATATATAACTTAAAAATGTTTTAAGTTTGGATGGCTGAAGAGGTGTATAATAGATAACAGTTCTGGACCCACGCAAAATGTTTAATCTATACGATTTCAAATCGTTGAATAGGTATTTATTAAAAAATTAATTAATTGTTTAAAATTCGATTATATTTCGAATAGCTATATAGTTCATTAGTAAGGCTCGAAAGCTGTAGGAGCTAAAAAAGGTAACATATGCATGCAAATATGTACGAAAAAAATACAAAATATGCATTAAAATGATGTTAAATATACAAACAATTATTTAGAATTCCAAAAGAAAAAAAAACGTACATTAGATGCATGTTGTTAATAAATTAATAAAATAATAATAATAATATACATGAAAACTGTTTATAACTGAAAAAAAAATATATAACCGGTTGGAATTTTGACATCTTATTGAGCTAAAAATATAAATAAAAATATTTTTCCAGTATTTTAGAAATTAAGAAAAAAAATACATGTTTTTTATTATCTATTAAGTTATTTCACTGACCCATCAATGGTTATGTTAAGGTTCGTTGTTATTAATTTAATTGGTGACTGTGACGGTAACAATAAATACCTTCGTTGAAAATTTCGAGTTTTATATAAAATTTTAATTAAAATATACAGGTTAAGAAAGATATAGTTAAAGCATTTGATACAGTTGATCACGATATTCTATTCAGTAGGTATATTGTTCAGCTTTGGAATAAATACGTGCAGACTAAACTGGTTTAAAAGCTATTTAATTAATAAAAAACAAACAGTTAAAATTAATGGAGTTAATAGTAAACGTATGAAATTGAATACGGAGTACCTCAGGGTAGTGTATTGGGCTCTATTTTATTTATTTTGTATATTAATGAAATTTGTGATGTTAAGTTTGAAGGTTCAATAGTAATACATGCGGATATTCCTGTTTACTTTTCTCACATAATACACGAGAAGATGTATAATATGAAAAATCTATTACTGGCTTTTGTAAAGTACTAAAAATATTAAAAGAAAGAATTTTGTCCTTAAATATAGAAAAAAACAGTGTTTATTCCATTTTCTATTAATAAATCTGATGCTACTGTTAACTCTATGTCAATACATGAATGCGCTAATAATAAGGACTGTAACTCAATTAACTGTAAAAAAATTAATTAATTTCTAAAAATAACATATGTAGGATTAATTATTGATTATAACTTGAAATGGAACTTACATATTGACAATTTACTAGAAAAATTATGTTTCATAACCTATAATAATATGTTCAAACTAAAAATAATAGTTCCAAAGCAAACCATGAGATTAGTTTATTTTGCTCTATACCAATCCAATTTTCAGTACGGTTTATTAGATATGAGGTGGCCTTTAAGACAATATATTAAATCCTCTAATAATTAATCAGAATAACATTGTTAGAATTTGCTTAAATAAATTTTCACTACAAGAATAAACAATTGAAAATTATAAAGAATTTAGGGTCTTTCTAGTAATACGATTATTTAAAAAATAGCAATTATGTTCATTATTAAACAAGTTGGTACTGATCAGCTACAATTTGTCATAATGATAATAACCATGAAAGAGAAGTTAGAAAGTATGATTTTTTAGATAACTATACTAATCTTTTAATCATGTATTTTGTAGATTACCTATAGACTATAGGTAGTCTACAAAATTAATATAGGCTATAGGCCCGACATATTAATTATAATTATATGCTTCTAGATCTTAAAAGAAATATTGTAAAATGTGAAAAATTTTATACTAAAAAATTATTATATAAATATATATTTTTAAAATTGAATAATAATGTGTCTTAATATTATATTTTTATTCTAAATCTTCAACAATTGGCTATGATGTAATTTTTTTCAGTTCATAAATCAGAATTTCAAAATATACAAAAATATAATTTTAAGTATAGTTATATAAATTTAATACAAATAAATATTAAAATTATATTTTTCTACCTATTATAATATTATATGATAACAAGCTATTACATTACTTGTATTCATATGGTATAAGCGTGTATAGAATTTGATTCAAAAATATTAGTGAAATAGTAATATTATTATTTTTTTATCATAGATATAATTGCATGCAGTGCGTGTAATATATATGTATATATAATATGTTTTAATTATTACCTACTTTCTGCCACTGTGTTAGAAGTTTTATAATAATTTTAAGACTATACTATAATTATTGTATTTCTTATTTATTGATATATAACTTACGTCGTGGAATTATTGGCCATGATTGTCGAACGAGAAACTTGTACACTAATCGAAAATAATATTAATACGTTCAATTTCATCAACATTTTACATATGTTTTATAATTAATAAATTGATATCTTCTGTGAATTGAAAAATCATAAAAATAATCCTGAAATCAAATAACAATAATTATAAAAATAAATAAATAAATAAACATAAAAATGATTGATATTTTTTTCCAAAACTTCTGTTTTGTGATAACTTAAAATTATTTAAAATATATATTTTCAAAAATATTAGTATTTTTTATAATAATGTGTGGTTTACGTTATATGAATTACCCTATCAGTACGTTATACAAATAATTTGAATTATTTCCAAATAATGCAATTACAAGGTCAAGGACTTCTGTCTGCTTATTGTATAAATAAAAAGACGAACAGTATTTTTAGATAGAACATTTTGAAAGCCTTTGGGCTTATTTGACTTGAAACAATATTCTTAGCATAAAATGTCCAACTCATTACTTATTCCATTCAATATTCACTTGATTCTAAACATTTAATGGATCTATGTACATTGTATAATGAAAATAAATTTAATTTTATAAAAAAAAATATATGAATTATGATAATAATGATTTCATCCACTTGTAAATTGTAACTATGATGGTTTTAACTTCATAAAATAAGTAATTTCTCAATCAAAATAACGAAATAAATTAAAAAATATATTTTATAAGTTATCAATAATTTATAACCTATTAACTAGATTGTATAAGGCTTTTGCTAATTGCAATATATATTTTAAGTTCTGAGTGGAGGTATTAATTGATTTAACAATCATGCATATTTTTTGTTTTAATTTTTCAAAATAACCATAAAAATAAATTATAGAAAAATCGATTTTATTTTTATTTGTTATAAGTTATAACTCATAAATAAATAATATTATGTTGATCTAATTTTTGTTTTTATGTAAAATACTTGAAAATGTTATACAATAGGTTCCTCATATATTGCTTATAAATTATAATGCTGTTAGAAAAATTAAAAATATGTAGTCCCAATTATTTTTTTTTTTTAAGTGATTGAAATTAAAATTTTTTTATAATTTATCAAAATAATGAAAATTTGTAAACTATTTAAAAGTAAAAGTATATATATATTTTTTAAATTAAACATCCGGGATTTGTAAACATAAGGAAGTCGGGTTTAAGCATGTCCGTTTATTTTCGTCACCGTACTGTCATAAATCAATTTTAGATATACACAATATAATATTAATTGTAGCAAAAAACGCCAAAAAACCCTCGAGAGTCAAGATAAATAGCGATTTTCACATAGACTCAAATATATTATATGTTATTCGTCATACGATGAAAACGTTTTTCGTGTAGGAACCCAAGATGTCGTGCACGCTGTTGTTTCTATTTTTTTCACTCGAAAAACCTGCAGTTGAAGGAACCCCGAAGTGCTCTAAATTGAAAGTCATTATATTGGTTGGTGGGGGAAGGGGTGGGAGTATATAAGTAACTAGAACACGTGTCCAATCGTACACAGTCCTTAACGCACGTGCAAATACGCGTGACGTTTGATAAATATTAAATATACATCACGTTCACGGTTATCAACACTAGTTTCAATGTACACAGCTCATAACCGTGTGATAAGAACCGAGTTCACATCTGCTCCGTTAATGTTTTCTTAGATCTGTAAAAACGTTTTAGTAGCTTTCATTTACTTAATGAATTTAGGGTGTAGTAGTGGAATGGACAATAAGGCACAAGTCATTGCAGAACATTAACGGTTTAAAGTTTTAAACATAACATTTGTTGCCTGTTGGTTCACTTCTGTTCTTATAAGAAACTTGCCTAGACAAAAAGACCATTAAGATCCATCCCTTGACATGGCAGAAACTTATTATGGTACCTATAGATGGGTACTTTGATTATCAAGGCCATACAAAGAGAACAAATACCTATAAGTGTATTATACTGCGTAGTGTTTAATTTTAATGTTAATATTGTGTTGTGCGCTTGCACCTATACTATTATTATGATATAATTTATTTAAAATAACAAATAATTTATAAATTTCTTTTAAATGACGAATAATACCATTGAGTATTACAAATAAGTATATATACTATATATACTCAATGATAATACCTATGGCCGATGATTATTTACGTAATAATATACACTAGCGACATTATATTTTAATTGCTTTAATTGTATGTTTATCCTTCTAATTAACAAATGCCGATATTTAAATAAAGACGTGTAAACAATTTTAAGTTGAATCGAAAATTAAAAACTTTACCTAACCATACGGTTTTTAATTTTCATTAATAAACGTAAGAAATAATATTATGTTTAATTTTCTTTTTGCTATAAAGTCTATATGTATATAATGATGATTTTCGCTTGAACCGAGATGCCGTGGTTAATCTAAAATACTCTGAATGCCTATTTTTTATAAATAAATATCAATATAGTAAAATAATTTTGTCAAAATACTATATACGTCAACACTGTATTCTATAATGCTGGTGAATTTGAACGTTCTTTCGGGAATTAGAGTACTTAAAAGTTTTAATCGACTACATTTTAAATCAGCCCATCATGGAAATCGATTTTATAGTTACTAATAAAGGAGTTTTTAATTAAAACTGAAGTTAAAATTTTTATTTAACGACTCCGCTAAATTTTGTTTTCCGATGATAATTTATTATTGATTTAGAATTTGAATATTAAAGTATGAATTTTAGTAGTGCTATATTTCTAGCCAAAAATAAATGAAGTAATTAAATATATTGAGTTATATTTTTGTTTTTGATTAGGTTTATATATACTCGTACATAAATAAAATACAACTCAACAATAAAATTAATTATAAGAATATCGTTTACTATAATCTAAAATAAAACAAACTTAAAAATGGCAATAACAATTTATTTTGTTAATACTCAGAAAGCAAGTCTTACAAAATCATTTCATATAGTAAGATGTTAAATGGTTTCTATATAGTAATACATAGTATATTAAATACAATATGGTAGCGAAGGCGTCACCTCTATTTTCTGAGCTTCTGACAAAAATACAAAATCGACATTTTTTTATTTTCGTATTCCATCTGTATGATACCTTACAGTTCACTTTTCAAATAATAAATGACTATAAAAATATGAACATAATAATAAAAAAATATATACATTTATGGCTTTGTTAAAAAACTTATAATTGTGTGTGATTTATTTGTTATATTAGGTTGTTAATATGTTAATTATCTATTAGTATAATAAAACATGATTAAAAAATAAATAAAATAATAATTCGTTTTTTTTTAATTTAGTGATTTTATTTAAAAAGAAAATATTATACAATGTAAAATGTAACAATAATTATAATGAAAAAGCCACATAACAATAATTTAAAAAAACCAACAATTCAATTGAGACTCAATTGAAAATATATAAATTGAATAATGAAAAAATAATTTTAGTAACTTATGATTGTCATTGTAAAAATAATTCGTAAGAGTTTAAAATCTCTAATATTCAGAAACATTTTGAATTATAGCAAAAACTAAAATTTATTTTATGAATAACTGGTGTGTTATTTTTATTAATATAAAAGTAATTATTGTTTTTATAAAATATAGTTTTTAGTAAAAATAATTTGAATTATGTGTTTAAAAATTTAATACTGACACAGTTTTTTGGTGACGTAATGAAAAAATTATGTTTAATTAAAGATTTTGAATTATATTTAGAGGTGATTAATATCTTAATGATATCTTCAATTTAGTTAACTTAGTGGTGGATTAGTTATAAATGTGTGACTGTGTGAGTAATATAAAAAATGTGAGAAAATTTAAAAAATTGCTTGACTCAAATTGCATGTTTTTGCTACCACACATAATGTAAGCACTAAACGATTAGATTACTTTTTCTATCATAAAAATTGATTATGAAAATAATAAAAGAAAAATCAAAATTATTAATATTAATATTTACTATAGTTAATACCTTAATTATTGGTTCTTTTAAACTTGAGAAAGTTTAATTTAAAAACTACATTATAATACTTATGATTATGTAATTTTGTATTTTATTTTATATTAATGTTTACTGGTGGAAAATTGAACCTTTCAAATTTATATTGGTAGAAATATGAATCAGTCATAGTTATTTTGTATTGTAGAAATGAGAAACGCCTATCATAAACGTATGTTATTTGTAATATTCGTATAAATATATTATATTAAATTATATCTAAAGAATGATTGAACGATATTTTTCTTTGTACATTTACTTATATGTTTTTTAAAGTATTTTTTCCTTTTTCATTTTAATATTATAATTTATCATAGACACATAATTTAAAAATAAATTATATTTTTTGAGTTATTTACTTATTATATACATAATATATTGTAGGTATAGACTATAAAGTGACATATAGATGTTTCAAAAATTGTTAGTACGTGCATACTTATCTTATACTTAGATCATCCTTACTCTGATAAAATAATACTGTTTTTAGAGTGTAAAAATAAAAATAATAGGTACATAGCAATTATCACGAAAAATTATTACAATATAAATATGATTTTTTGTACGAAATGTCATTGACTACAAATTATTTTATAGAAAATATCTTCAAAAACTTTAAAATGTATTTTGAATATTATTGTTTAGGAATAAAAGAATTATCTTTTAAATCCATTATACTGTATCAAATAGGACGTGTAGAACTGTACACAATAGCCAATGGTTCTGGAGTCACGTCCTTAGTCAAACTAACTATATAGCTGTTTTCTCGCGCGTGCGACCGTTGTCGAATAAGACGATGTGTTTAACAGTGTGATAATATTATACACATATACGTGTATTAAATAAACGATCGATAGCCCAACACAATGGCTATACACGCGGATTTCCAGTCGTGGTTGTCTGCACTTGGCCACGTTCTATTTAATATTATGGACCACCCGTTCATACTTCCCAAACTTCCCTTATACACAAGTACGAAACCATTGTTTCGCCATCTCGTCCCTGGCATATAAATTCATGATGCGGGAGGGCTCGGGATAAGTGGTGATTAGAAAATCAATTTATCGTTTATATTTATATCACG